GTCAGGGAAAGCATGAGGTGCAGTGGGGGTGGAACCCTCGAAGAAATCTAGTTTTCATTGGATGTTCACTCTACTGATTGTGGTTTGATGTGCTGTGATGCCTGTTTTGTGTTGTTGATGTTGCATTGCTTGCTTCTGTGTTTGAACTGCTTTATGTACAAAGGGGTACGGGACCTGACTCACGTTGCGGTTGCTCAGTTCGCTGTGTGAGAGTCTATGCATGTGCCCTGAGCAGCACAGAAGGTCCACGGCCGAACTGTAACTTTGGCTTAAGTGTGGGACAAATGGACAGAGAGAGAGAGAGAGAGAGAGAAAAGGGTGCGAGCGCGTCCAAAAGCTTGGGAGGAGAGTATAAAACAGGTGGGTGAGGACTGAAAGGCCTGGTGAGCCAAAGAGCCAGTGAGTGAATATAGCAGTTTACGTATACCGTATACCCTTACCAAGTATAACCTCAACGTTTATCATGGTAGCGGAGCATGGGTTCCAACGAGACCCCCCGGTCGCTGCCTTCGTGCATGTACTTCACCTCCACCGTGGGCGTGCGTTTCACACCGGTGACCTGTGCACCGGTGATGTAGTTCACCTCCTTGCTGTGCCGCTCCACCATCTTCTTCCAGAGCGATTGATACCCGTTCTTCAACAGGGAGACCTGTGACGTCTGACGGAAGAACACACAAAGGGCGTGTATCCGATGCATCCTTTGATAGACATGGAGTTGGTCACTGCAGCAACACCCGTGCATTGCTGCATCATTGCATATCAACAAATATCACATGATTGCGCTCCATACCACTCCATACCACTCCATACAGAACTCTCGCCTAACAAGAATTGACATATAATTGACCTTGTTCTTTGGCGGCGATGAACGCGAGGACCTCTTAAGACATCTCGATACAAGTAACTCTCCACCGGCTCCCTGGGTCCCCGGCCAAAAGCTCGTCAGAGCCCAGCATGGAACGGATGGTGCCGTTCATGACATCGGGGTGGTGCCACCAAAGAAGATAGAAAGCTGGGATCTTATCCAACAAACCATAGCCTGATCTCGCGACGTGGCGGCCAGGGTGATGGTGTTCGCACCTCTTCACCGCGTGAATCCAACACAAAAGTGTTAGGAAGGCGAACTTCATTCCTCAAATGGTTGCATAGCATCAGGTATGTGAACATCTGTGAACACCCATTGTCCCATTGCAGTTGAAAGCCTTGGTGCCTTGGAAATAGACCAAGTTCTTGGTGCATGTGAACACCCATGGTTTCAGCGTGGTTGGTCAAGCCGCCTTGGGGAGGCCCCGACCGGGGAGGCACACGCGTTCAACCCTGCAAATCTGGACCCCCTTCCCGTGCTCGATCCACGTGGTCCACCACACCGTTGCGTTGTTGTACCTTCGGGATTCCTAAGAAGTTACTGATCAAACAGTTGCCCTTTCACACCTAAGCTACATAATTAAGGGCCACATGGAAACATGTCTCATCTATCGTTGCGGGATCCGGCGATCCATCGGGTACATGTGGCCTTGCACCTGTTGGGTGTAAAGGAAGACGGGCTCCAAGATCTCAAGCCCGTTCTTTTTCAGAAACCTCAATTTGGTTGCGCAGGTGGCCAGCATCGAAAACGGTGGGAAAGAACAGGACCAGAACCGGATCTGTACTGGTCATTGCTAGCAATTCGCATGTCGTGGAAACTGTGCGGTTGCACCATGTAGAGGTCAGAACTTACCAGCTCACGTGGAGCCAAGTTTGACCACTGATGAGGGACTGGGCATGGTTATGCGTGGTTTGAGTCTGAGCCATTCAATACTTCAGTCACTTCGGTCTGGAATGGCAAAGGCCATGAAGCTGTAAATGGACAAACTACGGTGCGTGACTACATCGAGCTCTCAGAGCATCCCAACAAAATGCCCCTGCCAACCAGATCTCCCAAAAAAGAAATGACCCTGACCCGGCCAATCCATTGGCCTGACCATGCCTGCCCATGGCTCACATGGCTCATGACTCCAAGCAGGAAACTCCATGGCTGTCATGTCAATCTTGCTCCAATCTTTGGGCTTTGGCGGCATACCATACGGAAACTTCCCGAAGATGCTGTCGTGCAACCTGAGACCGGCACAAGTCTGGTCTGCGCAAGTCTGGCCCGGGTTTTCTGTGTGTTGCAAGCGAACGCCGAAGGTGAACAGGTACGGTAGCCCTCTGAAGTCTCACAGTTGTGAACATCCGGAACACCATTTTTGTAAGATGCAGATAGTTTGATCTGGATCACACATTCCATTGGAAATTGCGCCGTTGCTTCACGGTCTGCGTGTTGCTTCACGGCGCCCAGGGCGCCATAGATCTGTGGCTCCACCATGATCACGGGGGCGCACAGGGAGGATCACAGGAGTATGACTGGAAAGAACACACACACATTGATGATATGTATCCATATGATCATGGATATATGATCTGGATCAAGAAATATGCCTGTTTGGTTCCAAAAAATGTATTACTGTATACCGTATACCTGTATTACCTGTAATTATGTTTGACTACATGCATTGTGCATTTATTGGACCAGCTGCTTATTATACTTGATCAGTGCGGCAAAGATGGGCACACTCTGGGCACTGTTGGGCAAACAGCGGCAGCATTTGCTCGTGGTTTTCATCTCCACCTCAGGGCTGCCCGAAACGCTCGTCGGAGCTATTTGGTCGAGACAGCAAAGGATGCAAGGTTCAAATGGCTCAACAAGGGACTGCACTGCCAGGAGGATGATGCAGGTGCTTTTGCTGCTAGGCATGTGACTCGACGCTGAATACTACAGTATCATAGTATCTTCCCTGCCCAGAATCGACTGCAAGCGACCCGCAGGACAAAAGTTCATCTATTCGAGCCCAAGCCACCTCCTCTAGGACCCAATCGAAATACTCCATCCCTTTGGTGTACTTCCGCTTGTCTTCATCTGATAGGTTCATTCCAAAGACCATCCGCCCCTTGTTCTCGTTGGCAAACGTGCTCTCCTCATTCGTCGGGTCATATTCCTTCAGAAGCTTGCGGATGAGCTCGTAACCTGCATACTCGGCTGAGGAAACGCCCCAAGGCCGGCTGAAGCCTGGAGTAGAACGACTACTGGATGTGAATGGGGCTTTAGCAGCCACAGGATATGAGGATATGGGGTTCACAGGATACTGGGCCAGGCCCCTCCAACAACATCATCTGCCCAGCTGCTGGATGAACCCCGGCCCGCCAATCAGTCCAATCAGTTCGGACGCCCCAAATCTGAAGCGGTCGAAACACCGGCCCTACGTATCGGAGCAGGTTGAAGAAGCTCAACGACACCTGTTGATGTTCATAGGTGGTGGATAGCTGTATGTTTAGGAACTCCTCAACCCACACCTAGCTCATCTGCTCCAAGTTGCTGGGAGACATGTAGCACGTGCCCAGCTCGTGTGGCACATCCGGCTGGGAGGGATCGATAACGGTGAGCGACTTGCCGCCTACCTGAGGCAGCTGAGATCAACGGGGGTTCTGGGACGCGGAACCCCCACCTGTGTGCCACACTTGAGCATGGCAGCATGGAAGGCTTGGTGTCCAAAGGAGTCCAAATGACAATGCATGGGAGAGTTGTGAAGTATTAATGGACCTGAAACAGACGACTTTGTAAGAAGACGTCGTTCAATTGGATCCTGGATGTCTCCGGATGCTTTGAACAAAACATCGTTCTGGCGTCATGTTGAGGTGCGCCCAGCTCCCAAAACATCAATGACCATCCCATTCAAAATAGAAAAACCATGAAGCATCTTCTAACGAAACATCACGAAACAGTCATGAAAATCGCAGCCGCCCTGCCTCCACCTCAGCCTCCAAGAGGGTGACATGTTTGAAGCCCTTGGTCGCCAAACAGGCTGACATGTGAACACCAGCAGGTCCACCACCTACGATCACCACGCGCTTCTCCTTGCTGAGCTCCAAGCATGACCTTGGAGCCGTTTTTCACACTGGGCCGCGATTTCGCATGGCGAAAGTGACGAAGAATGAGACCGTCGACCATCTTCAGGACAACCTTGTCATGAAGAACTGGACTTGGGACTCGATCTATTAATCTAAAACTTCGCATCTTCCCGCAGGACGTTGGGCCGTGTTGGGTCTTTTTTTGCCCCCCTTGCTCATGCAAGTTGGGAACCGCCAAGGTCGTCCGTGAAGCCGTGATGAACTTATGAAGTGATGAGTTGCCCTGGCAGCCGTGAACCACGGGACAGGTTCGGGGTTCAAATTGTTTTCATGCGTTGAGTCGCGTGTGAATCTATGCGGCAGTGATTGAGGTTCTTAGTTCAGAAGTGAGGGGCGCAACGAAAAATAGATGTCTTGGTAATTCACAACTTCTAAATTCTAGAGGAAGGTGGACCTACTCAAGGCTTGTGTTTTGCCGGTGGTGTTAAGACACTTCACTCTGCGGTTAAGCCGATTAAATATGGCTAAACGGTTTCCCACCCTGTCTGCTTGATTCATGGACCCCCGAATTGCCATTCCCAGTGACGGGAGCAGTTTGGCGTTGGGATTCGGAAAGTCTTCTGCGACGGAGGGGAAAAGCGCATCCAACAAACCCATGGCGTCAACCGCGGAGAGGAATCACAGCGCCGGGTCTGAATCAGATGGCTACAAAGCTCTCACTGTGCGCCCTTGCACTGACTTTCTTGACACGGCCTCTGTCTGGGCTTGTCCTAACCAAGCATGTTATACATATTACATTTAGTGTTGTTTTCCAGGGAATGACTTGAAACATCTTGAAATCAAGTGCAAGTGAACTAGCCTGGGCTCAGGTGAGTAATCAATCAACGGGCACTCAGTCTGTCAGCAGTGAATCCTCAGCAGAGATACGAAATTGCTTGTTGCAAGAGTAAAGTTCGACCATGACCAACAATGGCCTCGTCAGCGAATGGAAGAAGCCCCCCCAAACAATGACCTCTCCGACCGATCTTCAACGCAGCAACCTCAGACCTTCACAGCGACCCCATGGGCGCCCGGGCCATCAAGGAGAAGTCCAACTCGCTGCCCGACTGGAGGGGAGGGGAGGATGATCGGATAGAGAGTGGGATGATGGTAGGCAAAACAAAACGAGGTCCTCTCAGTTGGATGGACCGACCTCAGGTGTCAACATCAATGATTTTTTGGTCAAGGCCAGTTTAACGGCCATTCTTGGTGGCTTGTTTTGAGCTTGTGATGGCTTTGGACCCAGAGACGGACCAGAAGCACACTCTCGAAACAGGTTTTGATTTCATAGCTGGTAGGTAACTAGGAAAATGATTCCCCACGATGTTCTTGACTATGGAGGCTCTTTAACCCCGGCCCCATGCTTGAAGTGGATATTTGGATGAGTTTGTCAAGCGTGGACCCTGTCCAAACTTGAGGGCATCAGTTCAATCATCCAATGGGTTTGCACCTAGGATTTCAGCCTACCTACACTTGAAGGGGCTACCTCTGCATCACTTTCAGGCTCTCTATCAGTCTCTACCATGCATTTGCCAGATCTCACTCTGCTCCCCCTCCTGTCCCACACCTCCCAGACCCCTCACCTCTTAACTGGTCAGGCTGCCAGCTGATGGAATCCTCATTGCCATTCAAGTACTTGGAACCTGTCGGTCCCCAATGTCACTGGTTCACTGTGCATAGGTTCTAATTACAAGGGATTGGGATGGACGGGATGTTTGATTTCTGCATGGGTATCTCAATTGGAGCATGATCTTGACCATCAGCAGCTTAAAATACTGGTGAGGCAAGCCACCTTCGAGGTTTTTGGAATTCTATAAACATCTCGGTTGGCTCAACCCAACGGCTGCATTGACATGTCACACCACGCGTGCCTTGGCTGCATGATTCTTTTAGAAATGACCCAAATATAACTTTCCACCACACGGTGCTTTTGCCACATGAGTCAGTCACCCGAGTCATTCCTTTTCACCAGTCACCCAGGTCACCGCTCTACCGTCTGCCCAAGGTCACCGTCACTTCACAGCGTGACCGCTGGGGTTGGTGTGTTTCGGGCCATGCGAGCGGGTGCGAGCGGGCCTAGCCTGCATATCCCAGGATGAAGCTGCCAGGTACTTTGGAAGCTTTGTCCGGCAGTCGCTGGTCCTTCAGCGCGCCTGGGCGCGAAAGAACATCGACCGAGGGGCACCGGTCTTGACAAGGACTTCTTGAAGTCGGAGAGACGAGGTAGTTGTCCAAGGGACTTTCAAGTCGGCAAACTGAGCACTTTCGTCAACCTCTACTCTTACAAGTTCAAGCTCTTGCTTTGGCAACTCTCCTCGAATCCCTCCCTTGCTTTGGGCTCCGCGCTTGGATTCGCGTGGGTGACGCCGATACCCAGCCTTGGCGGTTGAACCCGTCGCAGGTCGGGAAGCCGTGGCACGCCACGGCCGATCACAAGAACTAACCCACACTGACCCACATCCGGACACATAGAATCATATAAAATCAGTAGCAGTAGCAAGACTCGTCTCCTTCAGGAGGTGCAAGACTCGCCGTGTCATCAAGCCGTTGGACCAATTTCAACATGCGACCGTCCGCACACGACCTTGTTCTGCGGCTGTTCACCCAACCCATCTGGCACACTCAACATCAAACTGCCAAAGACCACCGATCCTTGACCAAGAAAACACGGGCAAGAGATGGCAAGAGGAACTGTACCATCAGGCCGCTTCACCAACAGCATTCAGGAGTCCCAAAAAGAATGACTCTGGCAGCCCCTGTAAAACAACGCTTGCAAATGAAATGCCACGCAGCCCTTGCAAAAACACAGCACCGACCCCTGTACCCTGCTATCTCATCCTTCCGGGACCCCCTCTGCGACCCAAAGCTTGGGCGCCGGCCCACCCAGCCATCCATCGACCGTTTGCAGAACCTGGCGCGTCAGCGGTCCATTTCTGCTCCGCAGCGGCCCATGGCGCGCCAGAGGCTCTGGCCGCATATCTCGACCCTGCGTCACGGTGCCGGCCTCCACCTCGAAGTACAAGCCCTCCTCTTGCAATTGAAGTGGCCCTTTGCAAATCGCCACTGACCTGGCCACCGGACAGAAGATGACAGGCCCCAAAAAGCCGAGTCGAGCACCATCGGCTGCGTCGATGCTTCAAATCGGCTGAGAACAGCACCTCTATAGACTCTATAGGTGTGGTTTCTGTGTAGGGCTACTGATCCATCTTTCGGAGCATTCCCGTTGGAAAACTCCTGGTTTGGGTGGCAGACGGGGGGTTCCCTGTCTTTGCCAGACGGTCGGCCCGTCGGCCACAGAGATCGAGGCACTGACCAAAAGTTACACGAGGCCTACCTTCTACGCCTAGAAGTCCCACTCCCAATTTGCATATTTTTTGCGTGCTGAAGTGACAAAAAGACGTCTGATTTAGGGCGTGTCTGTGCACAAACTGGTGCGGCAGAATCCCAAAACCACATCTTAGGGTCACACTGGACCCCTTGCAAACAAGGATCACCTGGTCACCCTGGTCACCTGGTCCTGCCCTTGGTCGAGGACCACCCGACCAGGCACCCCCACTCACGGCAGCCGCAGCTCCGTGTCGCCGTATAGCCATCCGGCGACCTCATTGGGTTGGGGTGGGGGGGTCACCCCCAGCAGAGGCTGAAGAACCCTATATAGACTATATCCTATATAGCTACCCCAGTAGGATCCTATGAGGTCACTCCACCTCAGTTGGTGATCAAGACGCGTGGAAGTCACAGTTGGCCGACTGTTCCAGAGGGAACTCTTCTTGTCTGAATTGTGACACCAAAAATCACGTGACCAAAAAGAAGAAGAAGCAAACTCCCCTTCCAGAATGCTTTGGCTTTGCATGATTTCCGTTCATTTAGGCCTGTCCTACCTGGAAAAAAACGCTGCACAGAAGTCTTTTGCATCTTTGGCTGGTTCCTCACCTTTCTGTCAAAGCAAACCAGACCGCTGGCCCCGCCACCGCAAACAACGCCGCTCCGCCCGCCCAACGGCGCGGCGGCGCGCTCGTCTGGTGGCCCAACAGCAAGATGTTCAATCCCACCGTCTCATGACCTGAGTCTCAGTGGATGCCCCAGACGTGTGCAGGAAAAAACGGTGGATGAACAACGATGCCCGTGGATGCTGGTGTTGCAATGTGTTCGTCCAACTGGCCCCTGTCCTGCCATGGTTGCTGGTGAATCTCTCTCTCTCTCTCTTCCCCCATTCCTGTTCCTGTTCTTGTTGATCTTGTTTTTGGTAGTGCTGTTAGCATCAGTATTATTAGTATTTGGCATTTCTCCTCGGTAATTATTTGTTTAGCTAGTTAGGTTAGTTGCGGTTAGTCAGTCCGTCAGTCAGTCAGTCAGTCAGTTAGTATGACTTGAGGCCAGAGGGGGTGAACGAAAGCTAGCCGGGCCTCCTCGTCCAAACAAGTCGGGGGCGGGCTGCACAGTCACTCTCATTGGGTAACTGCCGGTCCACTTGCAAGTCCCGTGGGAAACTCTAGAGAAGCAGTGTTAGTATGTTGCTGCTGCTGCTGCGGCGGTGGGTGCTCTGCTGCTGCTGCTGCTGCTGCTGCTGCTGCGGCGCTGGTTGGTATGCTGCTGCTGCTGCTGCTGCTGCTGCCGCTGGGTGGTCTGCTGCTGCTGCTGCTCGTGCTGCTGCTGCTGGTGCTGCTGCTGCTGCTGCTGCCGCTGCTGCGCTGGGCGCTGCTGCGCTGGGTGCTCTGCTGGCGCCGGGTCGTCTGCTGCTGCTGCTGCTGCTGGCGCTGGGTGGTCTGCTGCTGCTGCTGCTGCTCTGGGTCTGCTGCTTCTGCTGCTGCTGCTCCTTTGTGGTTTGCTTGGTGGTAGACTGCAGATGCTTGGTGTGCTGCAGCTGCTTGGTGGTCCCGCTCACCGCGCGCAGGGGGGAGTCGAACCCCGGGGGGGGGGTCCATAAGATTGATTAATCAATTATTTGAGGTTTCTGAGGTGCGTCCACCCCGTCACTTAACTTGCTAAAGCAAGAGCAACTCCAGCTAGCTAAGGCTAGCTTTCGTGATTAGTTGGTTAGTCAGTCAGTTAAGTTCTGTTGAAATATTTGCTTAGTTTGTTAGTTTGGTTTAGACTAGTTATGTTTACATGGTTAGTTTAGTTAGTTAGATTGTTTGTTTAGGTGTGCTTAATTGTGTTTAGGTTAGTTCAGGGTAGTCAGGTTAGGGTAGCTTAGGTAGTTAGCTAGTTGGTTAGTTAGGTTAGTTGGTTAATTGGTCAGTCAGTTGGTTGTTAGTTAGCTAGTTAGCTAGCTAGTTAGTCAGTTGGGTAGTTAGTTCGTTAATTGGATAGTTAGTTGCCTAGTGTAGATTGGTTTGTTTAGTTAGCTTCCTGACTTACTTAGCTAGTTAGTCAGTTAGTTAGCTAGCTGATCAGCTAGCTAGCGGGTGAGTGAGCCAGTTAGTTAGCTCTAGCACTAGTAGAACTAGTACTAGTACTAGAGGAGGAGGAGGAGGAGGGGGAGGAGGAGGAGGATTATCAATAGAAGTAGAAGTAGTAGTAGTAGTAGTAGTAGTTGTAGTAGTAGTAGTAGCCGTCGTCGTCGTCGTCGTAGCTGTTGAGCAAAAAGAGCTGCTCTCGTGCAACATTGATGGATTGCACCTTTCTGCCTTTGAAGTGGCCTCCTGGAATCTCCTGGACCTATCAAGAAAACCACTGTCCAGAACACTGGAGACCTTTCAAACTCCCAGAAGCACGGGCACATTTTTGGTCAGATGTTTGGCTGGTCCAGCGGCTGGCTCAAGTGTCAGGCTCGTCTGCGTCACCAGCTTCCACTCCTACAGCCCCCCGCGGATCGTCGAAAACTGTTGAGAGCATCGTCCCGCTCTGCGAGATGCCTCTGAAAATTGCGAAAATTGGCTCCATGCCCTTGCATGTCACACGGATCCAGCGGAGGTCAAATCTCTTGTCCGAATTCGCTGCAAAACGCGGTCCAGGGCCGGCCGCCCCAGTGTCCAGTGTCGACCTGAACAGGCGTGATCGGAAAATGCGGTTTCTCTTCAGAAACCTTCTGCCTGACAATCCGTCTGTCAACAGCTGGAAGGATGGGTTTGGATGATAAAGCCCCTGAGGCCATCGCGCCGGGGAAAGGAAACAAACTACAGGGAGAGTAGAGAACTCACGAGAGCGAGCCGTGCACTAAGAAGTTGGAACTGCGGACATGTTCAATGCAAAAGCCTGGCAATGACCTCCCCCAAAGGATTAGAATCTTTCTGAATACAAATGCTCATCAATGCTCCTATTCTCCCCGCAAAGAGATCTGATAGCCGACCGCCCCCTGCGGTGCCCGATCGGAAACGAATCCCACGCCCTTGCAGTGGGAATCATGGGAATTCTTTGCGTCGTAACGAATGAATCACGCATCACGATCATCAACATTCAACAAATCGTCGAAAAGACTGGCAGATCAACTGTCAGTGTAACACACCTGTCAGGTTTCATAGTAACTCCTCACTCCAGCAACTCAAACTGGAGATTCCTTAGGTTGCATCGCCGCAGTTGCCCCCTCAGCAGCAGGAGCATGTTCTCATGGGAGCCGTGAAGGTTGGCCTCTTGGGCAAAGTCCAGTGCAGTTCGTCCTCGTGAACTTTCCTTCTCAACGTCTGCCCCAGCTGCCAACAAAATCTTCACTAGCTCAATGTCTCCCATTTGAGCAGCCAGCTGAATGGGATAGATGCTCTCCCTCCGCGAGAAACAGCCACCTGCACGGGCCATATTCACACCCCTGAAGCCATTCTTCCGCAAGAAGGACTTCATGTAGATGTGGCATTTCAACTGTTCCTGGCGATTGTCTCCCCGGGCCATGTTCCGAACACAGCCAAAGGATATGGTCACGGAGGGGGTCGATGCGTCACCCAGCCGATTGGAGCGAAGCATGGCGTCATGTGAACTATCTGCCAGTCCGTGGGGGCTCTCCAGTCCGTTGGGGCTCTGTGCTCCGACCTGGACAGCTTCATCTGGCTCCACTTTCCGACTTCGTGTGCGTCGTGGGTTGGGATTAGGCTCTGGCCCAACATGGTCAAAGACCAAGTCTCCTGCAGCCATGAGGTCCACTAAGGGGTGCCTTCACACGAAGCTGAGGTTGGAAATGGCTCTGGAATGAGCAACATGCCACCCCGGCAATGATAGCAAATCTGGCAAGTGGTTTTCTTGAATAAGTTTTCTTGAATCCACTTCTATCCTGGTCCACGGGATGCAAATGGAATCTGACAGCTTTGTGGGATGAACACTGGGTTCTCCCATGAGTTTTTGCTAGGCTTTCTTATCCATTAACCCCTGCCTCCAACCAAGGTTTCATTATACAGTATATGTTTCATTCAATCGTGAAGCACTGTTCTCTGAGACCCGTGCTGAAGGGCGGGCAGCTTTGCACTTGCCTCAGGGCTACAAACCACGCACGTTCAACTACAATCTGATGTCACACCTCAACTGCATCAGCATCGGCACGCACAAACCCTATACAGCCTCTGTTTCTTGGCGGGGTGGCTCACGAATACGTATCCTTCAAAATCATCCTGCCCCTTGTGTCACTTCAAATGCGAATCCAAACTACTGAAAAAAAAGAAGGAAACTTAGAAAACATTTTGACTCAGAATCTAAAATATCCAGGCAGCTTCTTGCTTTGGACATTGGCACTGCACAGAAAGGTCCCCTGGAGTCATGTCAAATGATGCTAGACTGCTAGATTCTAGATCGGTCCTTACCCGTCTGTGAACGGCTGCCATAGAAAGCCCTCAACAGGGCAGGCAGCACTCAGCCAGGATTATCACACGGCAGCGCATGCCTATCAAGCCCACACGAAAACCAATGCCCAAAATGCCCAACAAACCCATCGGAGCATCGTCCCCGTTGAGGCTCCAAACACCGTGTCCATGCAGGCAAGCGAAGGAACCTGCACACATCCGGTGCAAACATCGGCTTCTTCTCCATGCCTCGAAGTGAGATTCATTTGGTTCTGTTCAGCTTCTGCGAAGGGCAGGTCCGTGGGAGTTGTCAAGAAATAACCTTTACACTGAGTTTCCAAGGGAACTTCAGCAACCTCTTCTCTGCTTGGCCTCCAGGAGTCCTGCGTGGCGCTGCAACTCCGCCACCTTGCGACAAAGATTCTGTCTGGTTGGATTCCAATGGAATATGAGGGTGTAGTGATGAACTAAAATTCCAGAATGCGGCCCAACTAGCGACATGTTCAGCTGTCGCTCTGACACGCTTCTGCTCACTTGGATGTTGAGCTTCTGCTCACTTGGCCAGGTGAAAGTCACCCAACGGCACACACATCGGTGCCCAGTCACCTACTGAAGCCCATATGACCTGTTACCGTCTAGAGTCTATATTATAGGTCTGTAGGTATCTCATCTCAGAGCTGTCCCCCCCCAAATCCATGTCCTGCTCAGGACTCCATGCTGTGGCCAAACGGAAACCAAGGGTTCTGAGGCCATGACTGCGGCGCGTGCCTTCTCCACCGCTCGCATCACATCTCGATCCTCAACAAAAAGGAGCTGGCTGATAAATCTCCATCGAGAGGACACCCACCCACCCCCATTTCTGAAAAAATAAGTATGTAAAGGCAATTTTGGGGAGTTTGGGGTATGATTGATGATTCCTTGACCCACGCACTTGAGTCACTTGAGCCATCTAAGAATCAAAGTTATCAAAGCCAGGCATTCATGCTCGAGAAGACCTCTGTGCTTTGGCCTAGGCCATAGACCTATTAGGGCTTTGCCTTCAACTACAGTGGGATGGCATGGGCCGCGGTGAAAAAGTTCCAGTCATCACACCGCTGGAAGCAACATGAAGCAACCACAAAACAACACTGAGCAGGAAGACGGCATGCAAAGTGACACATGCAACTCGATTGAATGTGTGGCCCTTGCACTGGGTCGTGCATAGAATGAGATGGAGAACACGCCAAAACTGTTGGCCACTTGGCATAAGCTGCCACCATTTGGGTGTTTTCGTGGGGTCCAGACATGATGTCTCTCAGCTCTCCTCGAGACCGGGGCTGCCCTTGACTCCACACCATGTCACGCATTCAGGGACTCAGCCAAGTCTCCACGATGGGGCTGGCGTCCTCGGTACAGGATACATGGGGGGCGACGCCGCGACGACGACAACCAAGAGAGGTTGAGAGACCTTATAGACTCATATAGACTCTAGACCCTGCAGTGGTACATATGGGATGGGCTGTAGGGCTGTTCAACCTCTCTAGGAAGGCCCGGCCAAACATCCTTAAGAAAGTGTGGGAGACCCATACAGGGTCCATGGAGGGCCAGGTGATGCGAAGTTTGTAATGTCCAAACCGCCCCAGCAAGTCCGCCATCCCGACTCTGGCCTTGAGAATTTGGAGGCTGTCCACTTTTCATGGAGAATCATAGATCTAGAATCAAAAGAACTAGATAGCTCCCAGCACTGGTATCCTGCTCACCTCTCACACGTTCGCTCTTGTCTAGGCCCCCAGCGGGCGAGCTTGCAGTCGGCAGGTCAGTCTTCTTAGCGGCGGAAGGGGTCGCCTTTTCCGCCTTTTCCTTGGAACGATCCAATTCCCAGGACCACGTTGGCGGCACATGGAGTTCATGATCTGTTCATGGGTTGCTTTTTGAAACATCGTGTGAATGTCACGCCAAATCGAAAGAGTGAATGAATGCGCATTAAAAAATTCAGTCAGCAATTCTACCCCCAAGCAGCGATGAAGTAAAGCTGGAACAAACAGAAACAGGTCTCTTCATTCGGAGAGAAGCCCACATGAACGCTCCATCTCTCATCGTTGAGACTTTTGGAATGAAGTGGCATCAAGAACAGAGCACATATTTCGGGGGCCGTCAAGCAGTGTCCGTCCAAGTGCACCAGAAAAGGTGCTGTTGATTCCGCCGGTCCCTTGGAACAAATGTTTCTTTGGAGCTTACATCACACTCACTCATGTAGCAAGGGGTTGGGGAACTCCTGTAACTCCTACCTCCCTATTTGACGGGGAATTTGGATCGGAGCCCTAAGCACCAGCGAGTCATTGGCTACAGTGTCTCATTCCGTTCGCCCAATCAACCTGGCATTCCAAACCCGGGGCTCCTCTTCTGCCAGCGGCAGCTTGGGGTTCACTTCCACCGTCTTGGAGAGGTCCTGGGCGGATCAAAACTGGTTGCCTTTCTAGTGATTGGGTAGGAGTGCATTTGGCAGGAGAACTCCAACAACTGATTGTCTTATTCAACATGGTTTGCTCCCGGGCGCACTGCAACCTTCTTAACCAACTGCCGTTGCCCCTGAAGAAAAACACAACTAGGTTCTTTCCAGGAGCTCAAGCTCACGCACAGCTGAAACTGAAAGCCTGTCTTCCAAGTAGATGGCATCCAAACAAACTCTAACAATAGATCATAATAGATCATTTTAGATAAGCATCAGTAGCGATTCCGAAATCAATCGAAATAGGGCACGAGTGTATCAATACACAGTTTGTTTTTAGTGCAGGGGTGCGACTCCTACTCTACTCGATCAACTCTAGGACCCTCACCAATTGGTCTATGTTGGAAGCTATTGAGATATTCTTGCCATAGACCATAGACATCCGGTGTTCTTCGTCTTGATCCACCCGTTTCACATCGGCTTCCGGTTCCGTGTGGAGCGGAGGGAACCCAGCTCGGATGCGTCCTCGGCTTCTCACGGTGGAACTGCCCTTTGAACCACAACACGCCGCGAGCGGCTCCTCAGTAGGCTCGGCCTTGGGAGTGGAGCTCGTCCTTACGAGCACCTAGCAAATTCTCGAAAGCGTGGCAGTCGTGGCAGTGGAGTGCCTCAATCCTCTTTCAGCCACCTCCCAAATTGGATCACCATGCACACTGAAAATTCCAACAGCTAATAGCAGTCCTTCTTTCCCTTCTGGATAGCTCGGGAGGCTCCCAGAACTTGCGGAGAATCGTGGTGTGTGTGGCATTCGACGATCGCCAAGGCCCCGCCTCTTCGACGATCGTGGTCTTATCCAGGCTCTTGGAGGGGGTGGCCTGAAGCAGGGATCTGAACCCTTCAAACGAGGCAGGGATGGGCCCGCGCGACCACGCCCCGATGAACGGCGACTCAGAGAACCTGCCGGGCCCCGTGGAAGAGTGCATTCAGACGTGGAAGAGTAGCGTTTGCCTGTCGGGCCGCCTCTGGTGCCGACTTGTCAAGCGTAAAGACAACCGCCCACTCCAACACCCGCCAACACCCCATCTCCCACCGCGGCCTGCTTGGCCTGCGCCTGCTGTGCCTGCTGCGCCTGCAGGCGCTCGTGCGCAGCCCGAAGCTGTGAGAGTTCATGTGCCAAGCTGAGAAGCACCTGCACCAGCGAGGGCCGGACGTGCTTCGGATGGCCGTTGGGGGAATTGGAGCTTGGTTGGATTTGGGGTCTCTTCCAGGAAACATCAAGAAACCATTTTAAAAAAATATTAAAAAATAATTGCCAGGGACACGGCTTCAGAGTCCAGTGTGCCGGCGACAAAACGATGAATCCTCTCATTTCACCTGGCTGCACCACTGGCATCAAATGCAAATAAAACTCTTTGGCGCAACGTGGCCTACCTGCCCTTCCTGCCCAGAAAGGAAACCGGGTGGCGGCAGCCCATTCAGAGCAGATCTTGGAACCTGTCCTTGACCCAAGTGGCCTGCTCTTGCCGGGCTTGTTGAGCCACAACCTGGAGGCTAACAGAGTTGGGCTGCAGGTTACTCGGGATGGATGAAGATCAGAAGGATGTGGGTGGTTGGTCTCGTTGTTCTGCTGGAACGGAAACCCCATCATCCCCCCTATTAGGAAGTGGGTGAAGCTGATGGAGAAAATGGCTGCAATCCCGATTCTTCAACCTCTGGCAACATCACTCACCTCTGTCCACCTGTCAGCCCCCAGACCCGTGCCTCCTCGGACTCCCTTCTGTGCTCCGCCTGCACTCGAGCCTGGTAGCAGCTACAATGGGGTGCAGCAAATCGCCGAATGGACCAACCACTGGTTTGTCGAAGGCATCTGCTGGGAGGCTTGTTGAAGATCTATGTGTCTATGAGTCCAGTCTATGGCTGTTTGAGTAAGAGCGAATGCCAACTCATCACCGAAACAGCACCCGGCCTCTGCTTCCGTGACGATGGCACGCAACGCCTGTCTAGCCATCCAAAACATATGCATGGAAACCGTTGGTTCCTGTTTGAGCTACTCTATATCTCCCTCTCTCCCCCCCCTCTCTTTTTTTTTTCTCGGTTCTTTTCGTCTCGCCAAATCTGCGAAAGCCACAGGCATTCAAGCCCAAAAGTTGCATCACTACCTCGAGAGCAAGGCTCATTCTCCTTGGACTCTCCAACCAATGGCCTCCACCTCCACCCTCAGCTACTGGAGCTACCAAAGGAAAGTTTCGTCTGCCCCCCACTCAAGGGGCATGAATGTTGCATCCAGTGAGGGACATGACCATCCCGAAGTTTGACCTGCTTCTGACAACGTGTACAGGCAATCCAGGTGCCATGCCGCTGCAAGCTGTGACTGCTATGTACCCGGGCTCGAAGATTCAATTCTCCTTCATGGACTTCCCCATAGTGGCAGGTCCTCTGGGTCACTTCATGCAAAGCTTCCTTACTGCATCTGATTGGCACCCGCTCCCAGCACCGCACACAATGAAAGTTGTGAGCCTTCAAAGCCCACCGGTGTCCAGGCTGTTCAGGCGGTAAGGCCTCTGTAAGATCAACTAAATCTTTCATCTGTTCCACCAACGTCTTGGACCGAGTGCCCGAACAAGGCGCTCCATCTTTCCTGGCGATCTCGGCATGGGTGCTGCTGGCTATGCATCCCACATGCTTGACATTGTAGGCCAGTTCCTTTGAGCATCCAACAATGCACACCTTCAGTGCCTTCAGCTTGCTTCCGCTGTGCCAACTGTTGCATGATCTCCAGACGTCCCTTGGGCGCCTTTTCTTTGAGTTTGATGGCAGGTTCAACATGGGCAAGCTTGTCATGCATATAGTGGCTCTTGTCCTGGATGAGCATCCCAATGCGCTCTGCAGCAACATTGTACACTTGATAGTGCCAGTTGTCAGCCTCCTCGAGATCATGCAGCAGCTGCGTAGGCATCTCCTGCAAAGCCCTCTGCTGCGCACATCCCTCAGCTGCCTGAAACTGAAGCCACCCTCGATGGTCACCCTCATCACCTTTGAGCAGTTTGGGAGGGACATGCAAGGTAGTCAATCTCTTCCATTCCGCTGCATCCAGGTTGTGCCATAGATCCGCCACCATTACACTGGTTGCTCCCTTTTGCAGAAGTTGCCAGCCTTCCCTGTGCGGGATGTTGATCTGATGCCTCCCGAGGATGGCTTGAAGTGCCAGCCAGCAGCCAAAGACCCAAGCCCTGGACTCTGTGGCCTGCCCAGGGGTGAGGGCAGTGCAAGTCCCATCAAGCTGCCAGCAGCCATCTTTCCATTGCCCAATGGTGACTGCAACAGCGTACTTCTGCAAGCGGCCATCCCTACACGTGGGTTTGACACCAATGGCAATCCTCTGGCGGGGGCTAATTCCGGTTGGCCAGCCTTCCTCCAGCATGCCAGTGACTTGAATCGACTCCACTCCATCAGTCGGCCTGTAGTCCGGAGCATCAACCATTCCCCTTGCCCACAGCATTGCGTCCTCCTTGGCCTCAATGAGCCTCTCCCATTCCGGCGGCAAAGGCTTTTCATGGTAGCTACAATCCCACATGAGATGTTTCATAGTGACAGGCACATTGCACAGAGGACAGACAGCCCTACCTCCTTGGGTGTGTGCACGGAGGGACCCTTGCGTCCAAGCATCCACCGCCACCTTGAAGGTGCCTTTGAGCTCTTTCATGACTCGATGATACGTGATCCAATCCGGCCTCCGCATCATAGGGAAACAATGCTCGAGCTCCTGAATGGCCATGGTATATTCAATATTCAGTTGCACTGCCTGCCGGATCCCTTGTGCTGGCCGCACCCAGTCATCAAGAGCAGCTGCATCCCACTGCATGTCAATCAAGTACGCCTGCAGTGCTGCCATGGGCCCTGCCACCACCATCCACGGATGTGCTGCCGCCTGGAGCCGTTTCCAAGAGACCCGCCACGCTGAGGCCAGTTCTCCTCTTTGAGCAGCAGGCCATGCTTGAATCAATTGATGCATGGCTTTCATCTGACGTTCGATGGCCGTATCACGTGGATCCTGTAGCTTGGCATGCTGATCAAACACAATGTCAGTGCTGCCCCCTTTCTGGAGCCCTCCATGCCCGGCCAGTTGCTGCTGCAGAACCTTCAGCCTTTGGGGTGCCATGCCCTGTGCTTCGATGCCATAGCTGACTGCTGCGTGCACCAAAGTCTTCCACACCCTGATTCGAACCGGTCGGGATCGGAGCTTGAGATGTGTCAGCTTCATGTGACGTCCACGTCCCTTGAGAAGCCGCTTTTGTTGGGTCCCAATCCTTCTCCTTCTCGCTCCGCTTGAATCCAGGCCAAGGTCCTTCAAAAGATCATGAGCCTTTGGTTGATCCTCCCGACGATGCAGGTTGATGAACCTCTTGCACTCATTGGTGGACGTCAGGTAACCAGTCTTGGTAGGCGAGAGCTTGAGGCCCGCATGTTCCAGTCCCCGTTTCAGCTCTTCATATCCAGCCAAGGCTTCTCTGCATACAGTGATGGCATCTTGACCCGCAAAGTCAACTGATATGTCATCTATCCATACATCAACCGAAGACCTTGGATGCTCACTGATGAAGCCTTCTATCACTGGAGCCAGGACCAATTTGGCGACTAGCGGAGCAATGGGGCATCCGGCTAGGATTCCTTTCTTGCAGAAAACTGCTCCACTCGTGACTTGCTCTGCCTGTAGGAGTCGAGGCCCGCTGTAAATTTCATACAGAAATTTCATATGAACAGCAGGGAAGTCCAACGGTTCCCATAGTTGCAGGAGCTGTTCAACAGAATCATAAAAGCACTGCAAGTCAATGAGCAGACTGACCACGCGCCTATCAACCGCTCTGCTGACCTCACACTTGAGCAGTCTCATTAGAGCAACATGTAGCACCTGTGTACCCGGCATGCTTCGCTCCCAAGGCAGACGTGTTCCAATGGTGCACTGCCATTGCTTCAGCTTGTCCCATCGCAGTTTGCACCAAGTCCTGTACAGAACACTGGTCAATGAAATAGGACGCTCAATGTCCTCTTTCTTTGGAAGTAGCAGCACCAGGGTGGTGCAAACTTGCTCAGGCAACCTGCCAGTCAATTCCCAGCCGCGATACATGTGGCACAGGGCAGTGACTCCCTCAATTGGGAGATTTTTGAGGAGGGCGTAGCTGATGCCATCAGGGCCACAAGCCTTTTGTGGCAGCTTCTGAAACTTCCGCATCACCACATGCGGGTCCAAGTCTTCCCACCGCCTTGCTTGCTGGACTGCTTCCCATCTCAATCTCTCCCGTTCTGCACTGGCCAGGGGTTTGTCAATTACCTCCCATTGCCCATACCACTGTTTCTCCCGCAGCTTTTGCCTGTCTGGCACTGGCACATTCCTGAAAGGTCTGACATGCACAGCATCCGGCGCCTTGAGACTCTTGTAGATCCCGCTGCAGCCCTTCAGTGTTGCTTGTGCCAACCAAACTTGATACTCCTTGGACTGTAGTTCCAGGGCTTGCTTCTTGGCATAATCTTTGTTGGCCTCCGCTCCTGTGATCAGCAGAGTGAGGGGGCGGCTGTCTCCATTCAACAGATCTTCCAAGGCCGCAGTGAAAGCCTCTTTCCCATGCACGTCTTGCCACCTTTTGTCAAGATCAGCTGCCTTAGCACGAAGGGGAAGCAGCGTGGCTGCGCTCATTGCATCCTTGTTGGCGACATGGGCAAGGAGGGAGCAAAACTGCCCCCAATACGCCAAATCTCCTTTCTTCCACAGAGAGAGCGGTCTCGTGGCCGGCAAGGGCTTCAGCTCAAGAGCAAGATACCAGCCTCTTCCTTGCTTAGGATGCTGCAAGTTCTGTAGTGCATATTGCTCTGCTTGATGACACCACTCTGCACATTGCAGTTCTTTCGGCCCTCCTTGTTTGCCAAGCCAGAAAACCTTTGGCTGGGGCTCAAACTCATCCCAGCCTCGGGAAGCTTCTTCAAGCTTTGGAACTGCCGCAAATTGGGTCAGCTGCTGTAGGAGGAGGCGCGGAGCTGCTTTGTTTGTTGACCTTCAGGAGCAGTCCTGCATGCGGTTTCCAGGGCACTTCCCAACTCAGTTGAAGCGCGCAATCTTGCAGCTGGCCAGAGCATAGTCCAGTTCTCCTCCTGTGGTAACCGTGGATTGTCCACAACTGACAACCTCAGCCTTGAGCACGTTCAGCAAATTATGCCCCTCCCACTGCTCTGGTGGCACCTGAAAATCTCCAATGACGACCCACGGTACGGCTAGTTCAGTCAGGAAAGCAGCCAATTGCCCTAGTACAGTGGAGTTGGCATAGGAGTTCAGATCTTCTCCACATTTGAGGTATATGGAGACCAACACCAGCTCCCAACGCTGTCGCTGCAGTACATTGGCCAGGAAACCATTGCCATTCAGGTCATACGGATGAATCCTGTAGGACGACTGCCCTTCCCTGCAGCTGAAAAGATGCCCCCCACTGTTGCCACCTCTCCCTGTCTCCCAGGCTGGAAGAGCTTCTGTTTGCCATCTGCTCCTGCACATAGCCGCGGTTACTTGCTCCAACTTATGTCCATGAAGATGCGTCTCCACCAGCATAACCACTTGATGCTCTGTCTGCTGGACCCATTCTCTGGCAGCATTGTTCCATTGGGTGATATTGCTGTAGAAAACCTCCACACCATCCCCTTGGATCCGTTGCCGTTTCGCTGGCGGCTCAAAACTGCCAATGGTGTTTGTCCAGAAATGTGAGTGCTCTGCTTTGGAAGCCCATATCATAACTGCTCCCGTGTGAAAGACTTCCGAGATGTGTTTTTGTGCTTGCGGGCATTGATCATCATCCACCGACCACAGTGCATCTCCTTCAACCAAAAGGGAGACATAGTGTCCAGACGTGAGCGCTCCCCTTGATGCGCAATCACCCCTCTCAAGACGAAAGTCCCTTGGCCTCCTTGCCCGGTGGACGTGCGTTGAGCACACTGGAAAGTGGAGGGGATCTGAAGCCGGTGATGATGCTTCACCCACGCCTTGGCCTTTGGGCAGTGATGATACCTGCCAATGTGGAAAACAATGTGTTGCACATCCGCTCCCAAACATTGCCCATTGGCTTCATTTGCCCAGTCACTCAACAACTTTTCCAGCGTCACATCATCTCCATCCTCGTAAGGCATCCTGACAAAGAGGGGAGGAGTGTCAAAGTCATGCCACCTGCCCCCAAAGTGCGAATGCCAATCTCCTTGCAGGCCTGTTTGTTTCCAGAACTCCCATAAGTGCACCAGGAACTCCGAAACAGACTCCTGATTCTGCAAGCAAAAGCTTTGGATGCTATCAAGGCCTTGCCGGCCCATTGCAGAGAGGACCAGGGCTATGGTCTGGTGGAGACTCGTGTATGGGGGTTGGAAGCCCTAAAGCACATCCTACGAATGAGACTGGCCCTTCAAGGAAGCATTCAGCTCACCCGTCCTGTTTCGCAGGTTCGTGATATGCCACCAAACAATGAGCTGCTTGCGGCCAACCTTACGCTGGTCATTCGAAACCGAGGCAACAGATGCTATGCCAATTCGGTTCTCAGGTTATGGTGCTGGATGGGTGCTCATCATGACAACCCAGCTGAGTTCTGGGGTGCATCCACCAAGCTGTGTCTTCAGTTGCTTCAGCAAGATGACATCTCGGACATCTTTTGGGCCTCCGAGATTCAGTCAATCCTAGCCAAGCTAGAAAATCCACAAGCCCAGCATGATGCAGGTGTCCAGGGGTAGTGATGTCCGCATTTGCTCTATCATCATCATCATCCAAGATGAAATAATCATCTTCAGCTTGTTTGCTTCCACCCAGGAAGGCAACCGTTTGTGCACCTGGCGGTGTCTTCATCTTGCTTCTGGTGGCCATTGGTAGAGAATGCAGGGTCCCGAAATTAGCAGGTCCAGGTTTCCCCAGCCGCTCTGTGCTCCCCAAAGTCGGTGCCCCACTCTCTTCCTGGCCTCCTGTCATGTGCTTTCCGATCATCGTGAATTCACCCATCTGCATAGGCCCTGTTGCCAGTTTATCCTCACCTGTCATTGCAACTGAGGAACCAGCTGGGCTATTGGCCTTTTCAATGTTCAAAGTTCGTTCACCCTCTAGCTCATCCCCTGCATGGCTCAAACCGGTCCGGGGAGTAAACAAAACTGCAAGATCATGATCAACACCCAGATCAATGCCAAAATGTGCACTGTCCTGCACTCTTGGAAATGGTTGCTCATGATATTCCCACACGTTCACATACGGCTGCAATCCTTGATGGGCAACATGTACATGGTCTCCATGAGCAGTGCACACATCACCAAACAAGAATTGCCCCCAGTCAGCTTCACTCTGCGTCTGACCCCATTCAGAGTGATGTGACAAATCACTTCTCCACACATTCAAACATTCCCAAGTGTTTGAAAAACCCCTCTCTTCAGCTGTCTGCCTCCAGGACCCCTTCACTGCAGGAAAACAGGCTGACTCTCCTCCTTTTCCACCACAAAAGGTCCGGCTATTGTTACCCAGTCAACTGGGCATCTTGCGGCGCTTGGCTAGTGTTTCAGCCAGGTTCCTCTCCAGCTCTTTTTGCTGATCTGAATTGAAGATGATGCCAGCCTGTCCCAAAGCTTTAAGGACATGCTCTGTGGCATCCACACCCAAGACATGTTCATTTGCCGGGCTCAAAGGCACTGCTTCCTCCTTCAGCTGCTTGGCATATGCTGCCGATTGATCCCCAAGCTGCTTGTGCTCACGGTCAATCGCTTCCTGCACCGTTTTGAGCTCATCCAACAGCACCTTGTATTGGTCCTTGGCTTGATCGACTCGTCGCTGGAGGGACTGCTTCTTGGTGGCCAGTTGGCGTAGCTCCCCAACCGTGGCTTTCAACTGCCCAGTCACATCCACATGTGTGGTTGGCTGAGGCTTGATCAGCCCTTCCACTGCATCCTTGACTTCTTTGGGCAATGACTCCAAGTGGGCCTTCAGCACCTCCTCCAATGGCGGCAGCTCCGGTTCCGGAGTGAAATCAATGCCAACTCCTTTCAGGGCGTCTTGGGTGGCAGTTGGCATAGTCCCCCATGCTTTCCTCAGGGTGGCTTCTAAGGCATTGCCTTCCGGCTTCTGCTTGCTTCCAAGGCCTGGCGGGGGTTCCACTTTTGCTCTGTCTCTTCCTCTTGGTTTCCTCACCTTGCGTGTAGGTGACGGGCTCCCATTCCATGCTTCTGTGGCTGGCCATGGAGTGCCACACTTGTTGCAGCCCCATCTGCTGGGGCTGACTCTATCCACCCAAATCCAGGAAGAGCTGCAGCCTGCACAGGCAACATAGGATCTCCTGCCTCTCACCTTCTGGTAGCCTTGAATGTAGCCTCCCCAGTCCATCATCTCCTCGGAACAAACTCGGTCGTGCGCTCTGCAACCTCTTATTATGAGCAATGGCAAAGGCACCAAACAGGTAGGAAAGGACCGTGAGCTCTTCAAACAGAAGGTCCAATGCCGTTGAGGTACCCAGCTTGGGCCACCTAGGACAAGCCTTGAGCCGAGACTTGAGCCACCCCCCCCCCTCTCTCTCTCTCTCTCTCTCTACACCTCCCTCTCCCCGCACGGTTTCTCCGCACCGTGTTGATCTCGCTTGTTGATTGCCATTTTTGGACCTCTTGCTATCCACAAATGACTGGAGAAGCTACTAGACCCAGTTGAAGCATCTGAAGTGCCACCCCCGATGTGGGCTGAATCGGTGGGTTTTCAGTGAAAAACATCGAAGCCTGAAGCCTTTACGCGTTTGGTGTCGAAAGAATCGGACGATTGAACAGGACCGGAGTTCCGTGTCTGCAAACCCTGTTCACTTGAGTGATCCACCTAGTGAGTTGTTTCTCATGTGTGTACATTGCAGTATGTAGTTGCTTGAGCGATGGACCAGCAGGATTTGGCAAATGCTCAACACTGGATGGGAACATGTGGAGTACATCGGCCAATGAAGGCCGCCCAGCAGGAACCTCAATCTGGCTCCCTTGACCAGTCCTGCTGTGCTTCGGCTGCTGCATCCTCTACTTGCCGCCATTCAGAGGCCTTGCCCTGCCAGCGGTGATCCATGAAAGTGGAAGAAACACGTGCCCCCCTGGGAGTGGCAGAATTTGAGCAAGCTCAACTGCTAGGTTACTAGGTCCTTTAAGGTTTAGAGGCCGCTGCGCCCAGAAACGGGTTCCGCGATGGTGCCCTCAGCTCTCATGGTTGCAACATCTTGTCCGAGGTTCCTACCCATGAGCCACTAGCTGGTTGTAGTGCAAAGGATGTCTCACAAATATAAACATACTTAAACTTAAAATCATGATTAAGCTCGCCAGACCCGAACAATTGCTTATCCACATGCATGCAGAACCGCTTCACCAAACTCTACTTAACCACATGACATGCCCATCTGAATCTAGGTTGCGGCGCCTCTTGTTGTACAAAGTTGTATGTTGCATGATAGAATGCGAGCCCGTGTCTTAAACCCCTGCAGCTTCAAGCCCCTGATCTGACAAACAATGTCAGCACATATCAAATAACAACGGTTTTAAGTTGAAGGTGGTTCACTCATAGCACGCTGGATCTCAAAAGAACATCAAGATTCTTGAACATTCTTGTGTTATCGGATATCCTATGATATCCTAAACAAATCGGAGCACACAGAAGCCGCCTGCTGCTGCGATGAAACCAGCTTCCTAGAATTTCAGTTGACAGGTTGTAAGTTTGTGAAATCCTTGAGTCGTTTCTTTCCAGAAAAGTTCCCCAACTGGATTTCCAGAATTTGTCTCATACCTTTTCACAGGGCTAGCTCCATCTAGCTCCTGGTGCCGCAACAAAGCTTTGCGTTGGTTCCACTTGAGATTCGGGCTAGAAGGGTGCAGAGAGCACCCTTGGCAGTGTATAGACTTTTCCTCTACTTCGTCGCTCGTGCGGCATGTTAGCGATTTGCTGACGAAAGGGTTTCCCCCAATTTCATCTCCTTACTCAAACACCTGCTCTCGGAAAAAGTGTATACAGTAAGTATATAAGAATTTCATGGAATTTCCCTGCACGCATCCTCATCACAAGTGCTCTCCAAAGTGTCAAAGCGTCACTTGAAGTAGAAACACGTCTAAGCTACCCAGAAACAACCCTTCGAAGGCAAAGTCAATCACTCCTATCCCAAACCCTCTCTCCCCAAAATCAGCGCTCACGGCTTTTGGCGACACGACTCCAAGGGGTGGTGCCAGGCTGGGAGCACTTCAGACCTGGCACCAACCCTGGTCCCCTAAACAACCATCCATTGGGATGGTGCAATGACTCCTAAGGTTTCGCGTTACTTCGCGCCTTTCGCTACAGCTCCCATCTGGGGCGGGTGGGCAGGGTGCAAGAAAAGTTTCGGCTCCTGAGCAAAGAACACCTGTTCAGACGAACAAGACCACCTGAACTCAAGGAACAACATGTTCAACTGGAAGGGTGTGGAGTGATTCCCTTATGCAGAGTATCCCTGCAACGTTCCCAAGTCCCTGAGACCTGAGAACAGAAAAAGAATATATAAACGAAACCAGCAGTTCCGGCCCATCCCATGGGTGAATCATGGACTGTCATCAAGTCAGGGGCACCCCTAGTCCTTGCAAAACCCCGCAAAAGGCACCTCGACTTGGATCCCCTTTCTTCGCCCAAGCATCTGATGGGCGCCCCTGAGCTCTTGTAGCTCACGTGCCAGGACCACGAGCGCCTGCGGACATGAAGCGCTCAGCCAGCAGCGGTGACCCGGCTGAGCAGCAAGATCAAGCAAGCAAGAAAGCAGTGTTGCCAATGCGTGGCAAACCCCCTAGTAACGCAAGTAAGCACCTAGGAGCCTTTTCATGTTGAGAGGAGTCTTCGTGCCCCTCCTAGGTGCATCACATATATATATATAATTATATATATATATACATGGCTCTCATAATTCTCATAATGAGTTCTACCTGATCGACCAAAACCACCACCTGAACATGTTGAAATCTGCGCATTCTGATTTGGAGATGCAATCTGTGGGTTCTCTTTTGCCAGCATCTTTAAAAAGAACGTGTTGCTGCACCGGATCCGGTCGATGTCTCTGCACGCTGGACCGGAGACTGATGTCAGTCCCTGGAGCCCTTGGAAGTTTCAGAAGAGGAATGATTTGCACCAGGCATTCTTCGACAAGTGGCTTTTGTTGTGGATTGTTAGACTTCAATAGTCTACAAAGCCCCTTGTGTGGAAGAGGCCAGTGCTGGCGCTGTGATCTAACCACCCCACCCATCTTCACATATCTCCACCTCTTGTGTCAAGCAAGCGCTACAATCATTGAGTGGTGACCCTGCCTGAACCGTGCCATATGTTCGGCCTTGGGCGCATCCTAATGATTCCTACTGTATGTCAATGCTCTGTCTGTCTAGGGAGTCCATACCTCACATATACAGACCTGCATGTCGAGAAAACGTCACTAGGTTCTCATCCCCACCGAGCTGTGTAGATGAGGCTGACCACAGTGGCCTGCTCTTGCCGAACTTGATGGGCAAGCACCTGGTCTGTTTGGGCTCTCTCAGGCGGTCCATCCCGGTCCTGTCCCGGCCCAGCACAGCTGTGGAATGGACAGGGACTTGACCGATGTTGATAGGCTTCGAAAATGCAACACCACTAAGTCTAAAGGTCAAGGTTAGAGGTCAAATCCCCTTTGTATGGTCAACTTGGACCCGATGTCCCCTCACATCCCCACCACAAGGCGCTCAACAGGAATTCTTTGTCAGGCCCGAAAGGAACAGGTCGTTTCAACTTCTCGAGACCATCTCCCGTTTGGGGGGCCTCTCGTCAACTTGGAGATCTGACAGCAAATAAAACGCAAGGAAATGGAAGTTCAAGTCATTGATCTTCCCTGACGAATTTCTGAGGGCTTTAATTCAGCCCGGAATGGTCGAATCTGGCAGACGCCAGAATGGCAGCGAGCATCACCTTTGAGTTTCAACTGCGAGGCGGTCACGGAGCATTGAATGCAAGATCCGCTGCAGGTGGCTCAGTTGGTTGTATATCCGGCAGTACAATAGCAAAGTGTCTTGCTCTTCCAAGAATCGATCATACGAGTCTTCCTTCGCTTCCTTTGTCATCACCGCCCAGGCCGCAAGCAAATCAGCATCGGCCGCGTGAGCGACATGGCATTGTCTGGAGAGACCTGGTGGAGGGCCTTGGTCGAACTTTGACATCCCCTACTGCGCTGAAGCGCTGCTCGAGCCCAACCTGTGGCGAAAATTGGTCCTCAAAAACCAAGGGCAAGTGTCCAAACCAATTCTAGGCACCACCGCTGGTGACCACTACACCAATGTAGCTATATAGAGCTACAATGTAACTATGCTGTGAGTCATCACCGGCGCAGTGAGGTCGTCCCAACCCACCTCACTGGTCGCATGCTCCGCATGCACTCGGGCCTGGTGGCGCAAAGGGGAGGGTGATGCGATCGAAGTACTGACACTTGAGACTTCCAGGCCTTGTCAACAAGTGGTAATCTGAATTGACATACCGACACCTGAGCGGTCTTTCAGACTTTTCCGCTCTGGCGAAAGAACCTCGCGCGATGCGGAAGCCAGTCATCGTGGGCGCTTGCGGGGCATATCTTCAACATTTGCCTGCGCAATCCTGTATGGGTTTGTTGATGTTCGCGTGTCACTGTGCCTTTACCCAAACATGGAAATACCCTGAAAATACCTAGCAATGCAAGCGGCATGCGAACCAAACATGTTTTCAAACGTACTTGAACTTGGTGTTCCGCTCGGTTCAAGCTGCTGGTATTGCTTGTTGTGGCATTCGATGCGCTGGCGCATGACTGGCGAGGGCACAAGAGTGGCGAGGGCACAAGAGTGGCTGGTGCGAGCCTTGCGCAGAAATTCCCGTCGTTCCATGATCTGAAGTGAATTGCCCAGGGCCGGGGCAGGTCAAGATATAGGAAGATGCACTGGGGTGTATTCAGAAAACGAGCACACGTGGGGATTGCTTTGGAAGACGTTTTCCTTGAGTAAATGCAAGGGGAGGTACACTAGGTACACAAGTATTGTCTCAAAAACCATTGAATGTGTTTGTCTGGCTTGCTTTCTCTGAAAGGCGCTGATTGCGCCCAGGGTTCGGTCTCCCCACAATGGCGTTGCCGGGTGTCTCATTTGCCACGTGCCATTCCTCAAAGAGTGCGGCGTCCCCTTATTGGTGGCGTGTGGTGTTGCTTTCCCATGCGAACTTCCATCGAAGGGCGCACTCCGCCACGCAGGCACAAACAGTCCGAAGAAGACTTCAACAGCATGTCTATCACGTGTGAAGCGCCAAAACACTTCAAAAGACTTTTGGAGTGCACCTGTTCATGTGTCCAAAACAGAAAACATCGCGCCAGCTCTTTGGCACCTTCGGTGGCCCGAAACAATGTCCAAAAAATGCGCAAGTCAAACTGCCATTTACAGCGAAGGTGAAGACACCGAAGACACCGAACTGATGTTTGACAGAGTTCTCGGGTTGAAATCCACCGCTGCTTGCGGCAAGAGGTGCATATTGGCACGTGGAGTGATCAATTTGGGAAGTCATTGAATGAGTTTTGTTCCTCTATCCCATCTCACATTTGATGCTTTTGCGTCTTTGCAGGTTAAACACCGTTGGCTTTGCATGAGATCTCTTGCTTAAAGAGGGCCTGTTTAAGCATGGGATAGAAAGCCGAAGGATTGTATTCAGAGATCTTGGGGGAGACTCCATGACATGTGCCCCTCTGACCTGACAGAGCCACGCGCTAAGCATGGCTCCTTCACAAAACACCGTCCTGAAGGATCTTGGGTGAAGCTGCCCTCCTTCGTGATGGCAAGAAAGCATATTGTGTTTTGAGAGTTGGTGGCTTTGATAGTGCTGGTGATGCCACCACTAGCTTTTGACATAGTTGGCATTTCTGTATGCCTTCGTTGCAAGCCAGGGACACTGTGATGATGAGAGCTAATGCACCATCGCTTCGCATCCGAGATGTCGATCGACAAGAAGGTGGTGCAAGATCTATGGTTTTTAGCCTGTGTGCGAAACGTGGTATATATAAGATTAATTAAGATTATATAAGTACAATCAACAAACATCGAAACACCCTGAAACGCCAGACCACGACAGTCTCTCCGGTGTTCCAATCGATACAGTACCCAGATCGACTTCCTGCAGCGACTGCAGTGTTTCCTTGAACCCGCCTCCGCTTCTGCAGCAATGGCGCGCAAAGCCTCCACACAGACCGGAAGGTCAGTGGTGGAGTGCCCTTTGACGTTTCTTTTCGACTGCAACATGGAAGGACTTACCCAGAACTTACTCCCGTCAACCCTTGAGGCCTTGTAAGGCGTTCAAATTGGTCTACGGTTGGACCTCTCAGACCCTCCCACACATCAGTCCTGCGCAGCTTCTGCCGCCGCTTCCTCAATTTGCCGCCACTCCTCACTGGGCGTCACTGTGCTGTACTCCTTGGCCCGGTGAGTCTCTCTTGGCTCTTCCAAGCTTCTCGGTCATGGTTTTTCTTGAGGCTCTCGGGTGCTAAATTGTGCTAAAGCCTGAACACAAAGGTGTGGAAGTTGCTGCTCTGCCAGTTTTCGCTTTCTACATCTTTCCAACCTTTCCACGAGTCTTCGAGTCTTGGAATAGATTTTGGAGAGAGAGAGAGAGAGAAGATTTCCGGTTCGGCGCTGTGGCCAAGCCGTATCTCAGTGCATGAAGACATCCCACCTCAAGTTACCCAGGCTCCGAGGACTTATGGATATTTGGGGGGGGCTCGGTTCTTATACACCAACAGGGTTGCCGCTCTTTTCGGCCATTGGGTGAGGTTCTTCCGATCAACCTGATGCTCTGGAGTGTTGACCAGTGAAGTCCTTAGGGCCGAGCTCTGCGCCCAACTGAGGCCCGTGCTGATACGGCTTTCTCCGGGAAACCTGCTTGAGGTCCGTGCAATCCCCAAACCCAGGGAGTCTGTGCGCCAGGTCGTTGCAACCCTTCTCTATGCATCTCCAGCCTCCAGGGAGCTATATCATATACCTTTATATGTAACTACATTGTATCATTGCACGTACTGTATGCCGTTTCGAACCCCATCAGCCCTATCATCATCCCTGTTCTTCAAGGCCTACAGGAAAAAGGCATTCGAACGATGCATTTTTCCCAAACGCAAACGACCCGCCACCCCTTTCGGACGCCGCCGTCGTGCCTGCCCGCCGCGCGGGTGTCCGATCCAACCTTGGCTGAGGAACGGTGATGAAGGCCAAGGGGACCCGTGTGCCATTGAAAACAGCCTCAGTGCCTCTCTCCCTCCCTTTGCCTGTCCTGTACCTTTTACTCTTTTCTATCTCTCATGCGAGCTTAGCTCTCTCTCTCTCTCTCTCTCTTGAGGCCTGGATGCGTCTTTTAGGATGAATAGCACATGCCACTTTCAGGCTCCGGGCCCGGCCCATTCAGGACTGCAAGCCTGGGAGGTCATGGATGGTGGAGAAATTGTGCTGAGGATTAGTGAAGTGAGGAGGTAAAAAACCATTCTCTCTCTCTCCTAAATGTATTTGTGTGCCTCCCCATCGTGCTCAAATGGTGATTTGCAACAGCTTTGCCCCCCAAAACAAAGAAACTGGACGGGACCAGGGGAGTAGGTATGAAGACATGGCCTCGTGCTCCGGCTCCTCACTTGGCATGTGCCTCGCGGCCGCAGCGTCAGCCGCACCCCAATGACCAAATGTCAGCGGTTGGCTCTCTTAAGCTCATGAGTCGCCAAACAAAAAAGTTTTGCTGCTCATGTTCTTTTATTGTTTGGTAATCTTGAAGAGCGAAGGAAGCGTACATGAAAGGAATGTGTGCTTCCATGGTCTCATCAAAGAGATCAATACAACCAAGGGCAGCAGAGTCGGACGTGTCCGTCTTGAAACCCCTGGGGCTCATCAAACAGCCTCACGACCTGCATCTGCATTGGCTGCATCAACCTCGGTGTCTGATCCGTGGAACAGGCTGCCGTCGGTAGCTACTGTCCATGGCTAGGTTACGGTTACTGTCCATGAGCCATCCTTGAGCCTAATGATACATTACTAATTTTAATATTGTTATATAATAACTATAGACGGTTCTATTGATTTTCATCCGCTAGCCACCAACATAATGGACTTACAGTAAATACATAAACCGTTCACATACACCTGGGCCCTGATGTCGTTTGTTGCGTGGAAAGGCGACAAACGCTCGAACGAAACGCTCATCGACTCCGACTCGGAGTCGAATCGACGGCTGCTAGAAATCGGGTGACCAAAGACTCAAGACTCAGACGTGGAGGCATTTGAGATGATGATCAATGATCAATGATCATCCCATTCATGCTGCGGCAGCGTAGCTGTCTATCACGTCAATCACGTCTATGTTGTCATGGTTCCCCAGCCCTACAGATACAGGCATGACGATTGACAACCGTTCTGGACTCCAAGCTTTGGGAGAGTATGGAGGGTTCATGTACACAGCATCAAGACCTGCGTCGTAGTGGATCGTAAGTGGCAAGAGCCCCATGGAAGCGGGTTAGCACTGGCCCGATCGGAGTGTGGACACCAGCAAGGAGTTTCACCACCTGTTGGGACAAAAGCACTACAACGAACACTAGATCCTTTTCGACATGCGAACGGCCGAAACGTGTGACGGCTGAGTGCATGACACAGGTAAGGGACCTGCGACAGGAGAGTGGGTTCAAAAGGGAACGGTCTTGATGAGAGGTTCATTGTTCGTAGGTCTGGACTGTTGAACGTCGAGGCCACTTCCCATTGCCTTGCTCCACCCCAATTCCTCCCATACTTGTGTGCAAGGTGCCAACATTCATAGGCATCGTTCTACCGTTCGCCGGTTATGAGTTGGGTACCTCAATACCTAGGTTCACTTGGCAGGCCTAGTGTGGAATGTGCCGGTGCACAACTCAGAGAAGTGTACCAAGCTTTTGAGGTGGAAGGTACATGAGAAGTGTACCAAGTTCTTTGAGGGTGCACCAACCGAGAAGTGTACCAAGTTTGAAGCTTAAACGACCGGAGCCTTTTTGCAGTTGAAAAGACCGCGGGAGGACCGGTTGTTGGCTCCCATGCCGTCTCGGGCGGCGGCCGGCGCGGGGGCGAGCGCGGCAGCTGGGGCAGCTGGTGCGGCTGGAGCGGCCGCGAGCGCGGCTGGCACGCCCGAGGAGGGCTCGATGGAGAGCGCTAAGGAGGAAGAAGTCCTGGCCTTGGAGGATGCCACCGAGGCTTTGGTGCCAGCTTCGACGACGCTGGTGCCGGCCCATGGTCCACCTATGACATATGGACCTCAACGTCGAGGCGAGCATCCTGGGACCCAGGAGATGCATCCAAGGCAGTCCAGGTCAACCCCTTCTGGAGCGAGCGGATGCAGGCTGAGGCGCGGCTGAGGGCGATGCGACCTTCAGCGTTGCCGGATGGAGAAGCTGATGGGCCCATCGAAGACGCACCAAGACCTCCGACGACAACTCCACCGCCATCACCTCCGAAGGATCCTCCTCCGTGCACTCCGGTGAAAGGAAAGAAGGAGGATTCAGATCAGGCGTGGGCCGATTTGAAGTGCCCGGTTCTTGGGGAGTTGGAGGGTGGGGACTATGCGCTGGACATTATCGAGAAGCAGATCGTGAGGCCAGTGGGAATGGTGAAGGCCTCAAAGAGTTGATCAAGGGATCGTGATCAGGTCGGTTGAGCTCCCACCTCTACAAGACCTCCGGAAAGGGATTTGGGATCGTTGATCCTGGGAGACTGGATCCAACTGGTGACGCCCACCATGAAAGACCTGAGTGCCACCAGCTGGAAATGGTGGGAGGATGTGTTGAACTTCGCCATGGTGGCTTACCGCGAGTGGCTTCAAGCAAAGCCGGTACAGCGACTCTACATCAGGCCGAGACTTCCGTCAGAGTGCTCCGGGGTTTGGAGTCGACTCGAACAACGAGGTCAGCTGATGTTGATCAACGCGGTGCCACAGAGCATCAAGGCGGAGATTTTTGCGAGTAGAACTACCAGTTCGGTGGAGGTCCTCTACGCCCTGTTCCGGAGATATCAACCTGGAGGATTGGCGGAGCGGTCCCGTTTGCTCCGGCAGCTGGTCGATCCGAAGGCGCCGCGGAGCATGAACGAGGTGACGGAGGCGCTTCGGGGATGGAGACGGAGCTTAAGGAGGGCACAGGAGCTGGAGATAGCAACCCCGGATGCCACCTTGTTGCTCGGAGCGCTGGATAAGATGTCGGAGCTGGTTGGGAAGACGTCCAATCGATCAGGTGGCATTTCGAATGTCTTCTACCCGAGCCACTTTGGGTGTGGATGTGACTCCAACCCTGGAGACAGTCCTGAGCTTCGCTGACATGTTGACGGCAGAAGCTGAGTCATTGGCCATCAGCGAGTTGCAGCCGGCCCCGGAGGTGAAGCCAGTGGCAGCTCCTACTACTAAGGTCAAAGCCATGACGGCGATGTTCGAGGACAAGGGAGAGAAGGGGACCGGAAAGGGGCGACTGGACGGCAAGCCGGAGGAGATGATCTGCCGGCTCTGGGGCACAGAGGATGGATACAGGAAGGGTCAAGAGTGTCGCTTCAAGCATGAATGGGGTGGCCTCGACAAGAAAGGAAGATGTTTCGGGTGCTCGGCGACTGGACACTCGAAGAAGGATTGCCCTGCTTCGAAGCCGAAGGGGAAGGACCAGCTGGAGAAGCAGGCCGTGAAGTCCATCAAGGAGAAGGGCATCGCTGCTCCGGCCAAGGGAGAGGCAGTGGAGGCTGGTCCCAAGTCCGGGGGGAGTGATCTGACAGACCACAACCAGGCCAACGAGGGCGACAAGGGCGCTGGATCAACTGGGGAGATGAAGGACGTTGAACGAGGCTACTACACTGCTGAAGAGCCTCAGGCCGAGTCCATCGGTGAAGGCCATCCGTCTGGAGGTGCGAGAGGGAGGAAGAGCCCTCTTGGACGGAGGAGCGACACACTGTTTGAGGAAGACATCCTCAGAGGAGGAATGGGCGAGGGCTCAGGAGGTGAATGTGGAGTTGGCTGCGGGGTCAGCAGTTCTGAGGCTTCTTCCCTGGACGAGGACTTTGTTGACCAAGGAAGACGTCCTGATCTCCCTTGGCTATGAAGCGGTGTGGGAGAAGGACCGGTTCGAGTTGACGGACCCGACAGGCTTGGTGTTGGACACCAAGGTTGAGAACTCCTGTCCCACGATCGATGAGGTGCTGGCCTACGAGCTGATCCAGGAGATCGAAAGAAGCATGGTGCGTGAGAGAGCACGCCTGGCCTACCTCGCAGGAGAGGATGTCGGTCTGGAGATCGATCCGGAGGAGTCCAAGCACCTGAGGGAGTTGAAGAACCTCTTCCCACAGGTGCCGCACCACATCCTGGAAAGGTTGCTCCCAAAGAAGGGATGGACAGGTGAAGGGCTGCCGTGGAATCGGCATGAGAGAAGGCGACTTAGGAAAGCGAAGGAAGTGGTGATCCACCTATTCAGCGGGGACTCGAAGAAGTTCTGGCAGAGGGAGCTCGAGGCAGAGAGCAGAGCGGTGTTGTGTATCGACACGGTCGTCGACCAGGGCATGAACCTCTTGCGTGACGACATCTTCGCCTACCTGCTCGACTTGGCTGATGGTGGCACGGTGTGTACCCTGTTGGGAGGCCCTCCTTGCCGGACTATGAGCAGGTTGAGGTTCAAGCAGCCTGGACCGCCCCCGCTGCGAGAGAGAGAGAGGGACCATATCGGTTCGGACTTCCGCAGTTGGATCGATACCTTCGCAAGCAGGTGGAAGATGACACGGTCCTGTTCCTGAGACAGCTGTACCTTCACCATCGTGCAGCACTGGCACGAGGCCCGAAGTTGACCCTTTCGGCATTGGAGCAGCCAGAGGACCCGGAGGAATACCTCAAGGCGGAGGAGAAGGAGGCTCACAGGTACCCGTCCTATTGGAGCTGGCCTGAATGGAAGGCCTTCAGAGATCGATGGGGGATGATGGAGGTCAGCTTTGACCAGGGACCCATGGGGCATGCGAGGAGAAAGCCGACGAGGCTGGGAACCAACATCTCCAAGCTGGCAGAGCTGCAGGACATCCGAGGTCACGGAATGGGAGGAGACACTGCCCTGGCGGAGGACCTGACGGAGAGGATCAAGCAGAGCCGAGACTGGTCAGCATGGGCGCCTGGATTGAAGCTGGCATTGGCGACAGCCATACGGGAGACTTTGAACTCCCCAGAGTACCAGGTGAAGCAAATGGACCTGGATGCCTGGAAGAGACAATCTGCTGAACGGGGACCTGCCCTATAGCAGAGAATGCAAGTCTTGCGTCATCGCCGCATCACGCGGCAGAGCTCACAAGAGGATCCCACATGCAGACGCTTATACGCTGTCGATCGACATTGCTGGACCTTTCATGTTGGCAGAAGATCAACTCGGGAAAGGCCGGTTTGTGCTTGTGGGGGTCTACCTGGTTCCGGTGACCAAGAACGGCCACTCGCTCATCCCGATCCATGAGGAGGACGAGTTGCCTGGGGCGGAGGGCGATGGACCAGGGCTCACGGTGGTTGAGGACGAAGGAGACGACCATGATCGAGGGGAACCATGGCCGGGCTTGGACGACGAGAAGGAGTGGGCTTCGCTGGTGGAGAGTGAGCAGGACTTCCAGGCCAAGCAGGTGACGTTTGCGGAGGTCATGGAGAATCGGGGAGCATCCGCAGTCCTGGAAGCGGTGGGACGAATGGTGGCCAAGCTGAACTTCCTGGGTCTCCCTCTCGTCTACACTCTGATCGCGCAGGCGAGTATCAGAGTAAGATGTTCGACAGGTGGGTACGAGACAGAGGGCTGTGTCGCACCTTTACAGATGGCGACAACTTCAAGGGCAACGGCCGTGCGGAAGGAGCGGTGGCACAGCTCAAACGTGGTGCACGAACCCTCCTGGTGGCAGCAGGCCTCGATGAGAGCTATTGGTGCCACGCCTCAAGGCACTGGGCCAATACCCGACTTCGAAGCCAACTGGAGTCGATGGGGTGGAAGCGGCGACAGCTGGTGCCCTTCGGCCAGGTGGTTTGGGCGAAGAGGAAGCTCTATAGCGACCGACAGAAGTACCTGTCTACCACCAGGACGCAGGTGAGAGTTCTTTGCCCAGCTGTCACGATGTCGATGACGACTCCGGGATACTTCGTCCAGGAGCTCTCCACAGGAAAGCTGCTCCACACGGGCGACATCATCCAGGTGGAGGACATGCCGGAAGGGGTGGAACTCCCAGACAGAGAGGCCGGAGTGATCCATGAGGTTGACGACCGGGAGGATGTCCCGCAGCCGCGGAAGAGGCCAGGCCGGACTCGAGGGAGCATTAAACTCCTTCAACGACAGACCGAGACGGAGGTCGTAGACTGGGGGGAGCTGCAGAACCGAGGAGCACAGATGTTGTCTCGGGAGCTTCAACTGCTGGAGGAGGACTCGGGTGAGATCCGGAACGAGAGATTCCTGAAGGCCCTCACCACGGAGATCGAGGAGATCGGCCAGGAGGCAGTTCGGGTGAACCAGCAGGAGAAGGAGAACCTGATCGCCGAGATCGAGGAGAAGACAGAGGAAGCTGCGGAGTTCCTCCAGACTCGGATGGTGGGGTTGTCAGAGGTCCGAAAGAACCTGGAAGAATGGAAGCCGTCCATGTGCGAAGAGTACGGAGCCCTGGTGGTGGAATCTGAGGCGGTGGAACCCATCAGCCGGCAGAAGATGATCGAGATGAAGGAGGAGGCAGCGAGATCTGGGAAGACCTTCGACCTGCTTCCAGCGAAGGCGATCTTCAGCAGGAAGGCCGGCTCGGGCAGACATAAATGCCGAGGAGTCGCTTGTGGGAACCACATGAAGCTTCGCAGCGATGAGAGTACCTTCGCATCAGGCGCAGGAGGACCAGAAGTACGACTCCTCCTGAAAATTGCTGCTACCAGAGGCTGGAGCGCTTCAACGGTGGATGTGAAAACTGCCTTTTTGAATGCCCCGGTTGACAACTCTGCAGACCGTCGAACCCCCTCGTGTTTTCCGAGATGCACAAGTTCTCCGGCATCCAGAAGAGTTGTGGTTGGTCCGAAAGGCACTTTACGGGCTAACCACGTCCCCAAAGGACTGGTGCCTTCACAGAGACAGGTGCATCCAGGAGTTCAAGTGGAGTGGGGAAGATGGCATCTACAAGATCGAGAAGACAGTCCAGGACGACGTGTGGGGGATCTACAGCTGTCGAGAGGGAGAGAGCGACTGGAGGTTAGCTGGCTTGTGTGCGACCTACGTCGACGACATCATCATCACGGGGACGAGGGAGGTGATTGATGGCATGCACCAGAGGATCCGGAGGAGTTGGAAGATCGGGGAGCCATCTTGGATTCGAGAAGGAGGTGACCCGGTGAGATTCTTGGGCATGGAGATTGAGAAGAGGGGAAACGACTTCATGATTCACCAGTGAGCCTATCTGGAGAACCTCTTCCTGGAGTATGACGAACATGGAAGAGCAGCATTGGGCCAGATCAAGACCCCCGAGGAGGAGGAGAACCCTCAGCTGTCAGAAGTGACCCAGGCTCAGAAGGAAACAGGAGAGCTCCTATGGGTGGCTAGACGAACGAGACCACACATCTGCCTGGCAGTCAGCATCATGTGTCGGTGGGCGGCGAAGAGACCAAGGGCAGTGATGGCCATCGGAAAGCAGGTGAGTGCTTACCTTCGACAGACCCGTGGAGAGGCCTTGTACATCAAGGGCATGGAGGAAGTCGAGAAGGGGAAAGAGACTGAGGATGGACTGAAGAAGGTGGAGGTATTCTCGGATGCCTCATATGCATCATCAGGTCTGAAGAGTCTAACTGGCATCGTGGTGTGCGTTGGAGGAACTCCGATCGCCTGGCACACTACTCGCCAAGCATTTGTCACCCTGTCCACAGCTGAGGCGGAGTTGATGTCCTTGCTAGAAAGCCTGGTGAGTGCCAGATCGGCTGGGTCGCTGGTGGAGGCAGTCCTGGGAGAAAAGATTGCGCTGAGACTGCACTCGGATTCGACGGCGGCCATTGCCTTCGCGGCGGGAACTACCTCATCATGGAGAACGAGGCACTTGAGGATCAGGGCCGCTGGCCTGACAGAGGCACTGAAGTCGAGAGAAGTGTCCCTAGAGCATGTCGCTGGGACAGAGTTGGTGGCGGATGGAATGACGAAGCAGCTCACCGGTCAGCCACTCCTGAACTTCAAGAAGGCCTTGAACCTGAGGACGATGGAAGAGAAGGTGGAGAACATCGAGGTCAAGAAGGCGATCCGAGGAATCGAAACCGGAGCCGGAGTGATCGATCGAGACTTCAGGGAGAGGTGAAGGTGTTGCTCCGAAATCACTCGGATGTGGACCTCAGGATCTACAAGGGTGACCGGGTGGCGCAGCTGGTGGTCGAGAAGATCTTGGAGCTGAACGTGAACTGCGTTGAGGAGCTGACCACGACGGCCAGAGGCTCTAGAGGATTCGGATACTCAGCTCACGAAGAGTTGTACCCGTGGGCGGAGCCAGATGATCCGACTTACCAGCACCAGGAGCTGGGAACCCGGAACCCCGTTGATCGCATCTCCGTGAGGGCGATGAGGGTGAGTTCAGGCCCGGAGAGGGCATCAATGGCATCGACTCAGCAGACATCGGCTTCGGAGGCTGTGGGCGTCCAAAATGGACTACCTCGTGACCGACCTGAACCAGCAGGACACCATCAAGTACCCGACCCGGAACTATGGCATCGTGGCACCCAGACGGAGGCAATCAGAGGGACGTGCTATCTCCTGAAGCTCAAGGAGCCCCTGACGGACTTCGAGTACCCGATTCAGAACTTTGGTGTCGGGGAGCCTATGACGCCGAAGCAGAGGAGAGGCGCCGCGCCAACCTGTCAGACGAGGACCGCGGCGAGATCATGGTGGCACCTGGGTGATGATGGACTCTGAAGGAGTACACTTCATCGCACATGATCCAGGCGATGGCCGAGGACTGTCAAGAGCATCAGACTCCGGTTCCCGAGGAAGTGGAGGTGATGGAGCACCACCACAAGAAGGAGACACTCCCATCGAAGAGCGCTCTCGAGGAAGTCTTCCAAGAGTGGAACCACTTCGACTGGTCACGACCGTGGAGGAGGGCATCGTGCTGGGAAAATGGTGTCATGAAGAGGAGATGTGGGACTATTTGAGAACCCCAGGCTTTCAGAAGGGCTTCATCAATGCGGCGGTCCTCAAGATCATCTCCACTCCGCCGCGACGAACGACAGCGAAAGATTCCTGGGACTACCTGGTCGACTTTGAAGGAGGAAAGAAGGTCGGGATCCGAGTCCACTACCAGGATCGAAAGAAGCTGTACGACTTCGAGGCCAAGGTGTTGCTCGAGGAGGGGTGGGAGCAGTGGAGGATGACGGTGGCATGGCACACGTGCTCCAAAAGGAAGACCATCCTCGTTGACGAGAGGAACGGGAGGAGGGGCGGCCACCTGGACACATGGTGGGGGTACACCGTGTTCCGCACGAAGTGAGAGAGGCTTGAGCTAGGGCGTTGGTGGCACCGAAATCCACCACAATGGTGGAGGGGGAGTGCCGGTGCACAAATCAGAGAAGTGTACCAAGCTTTTGAGGTGGAAGGTACATGAGAAGTGTACCAAGTTCTTTGAGGGTGCACCAATCGAGAAGTGTACCAAGTTTGAAGCTTGAACGACCGGAGCCTTTTTGCAGTTGAAAAGACCGCTGTAGGTCACGCGGAATGAACCCCTACACTGGTGGAAACCAAAGAAGATCAGGAACTCATCAGATGTTTCCCTCGCATCCCTGCAGCTTTTTTCGCCAAGCCCTCAGGCCCGTCTCAGCCAAGCCCTCAGGCCAAGCCATCTGGGGGGTGTAAGCCTTCTTCCACGGTCAGGTGTCAGTGGCCTGATGAGATCACAGAGCGAGGGGATGACACACCTGCAGCCGAAGACGTGGAGGACATCCATGCACCGAAGGGTGTTCAAAAAATCCCATGCTTCGAGAGACATAACATCCAAGACAAACACACGAGAATGGAGGAGACACTGTGGAAAACACTATAGCTCCAGGTCCATCACAGTTTTTTCAGGCGACCAATTGACTCGTCAGCATTCTTGACCCGGTCCACACTCTGAGTCAAGTCTGACAAGGTCCACATCCGCCTGGCAAACATCCTGCAGAAGGAACTCCACGGAGGCCTCAAAATCCATCCATACATCCAACCGTCCGTCCGGCCACTGCGGAAGCTGACCCGATTCGGCTCCCGGGGTCGAAGGCTGTGGGCACAAGCGTCCGGCTCATGGCTCTGCTGACCATGGAGTGCATGTTGCATGGCTCTTGTTGGTCTAGGTCATGATTTGGACAGGGATCGGGCCGGATCGGGGCATATCTTTTGAACGCCTGAACATGCACATCTTGGCCGTGAAAGGCCAGGCCCCCAGTCATCCATACGTAAGTTAATTCTCCTCAGCTGGCACATCAAATAGGGCGACGGGCGACCAATGAATCCAAGCCACTGGGAGCCATTGATGGAGCCATGGATGGAACCATGGAGGGAGCCATGGACGGAACCATGGAAGGAGCCGCTGAACCTGGGGTTCAAACTCAAAAATAGGAAGTATACCCTCAAATAATATTCATAGAAGTGGAAAACCATCTCTTTGCATAGGAAAAATGGTCATCCAAGGCGGTGATTCTTGAAAAATGCCTTCACGTTTTCTTCGGGCTCCCCTACGCCTTTCTTTCTTTCAGCGGTTCTTTTTAAAGCAAGATCTGGGAGCCCGTTCCCGGCAGTGGAGCATGGATACTGCCCGGCAGGAACACCGGTCCTGATGCGCGTCGCCGACGGGCCGGGAAAGGCGGTCGATCGGGTCGAGAGCTTTTCAGAGCACCGATCCGTCCCGCTTTGCGGCTCCACTGACCCTCTGACTCCCTAACATGGAAGTGGACATCACGCTGACTGTAGAGGAATATATCTTCCCAGCGGTCAGTTTCCACTTCCATGTCACAGGGTCAGTGGAGCAAAGTCTGGTACAGCTACAAAAAAAGGCTTCTGCAGCGTGGCGGAAACCAACCGCAGGATCTGGCCCCTCGTGCGCCTGGACCCATCGGTTGAGGCATTGGGCCAAGACCTGGCGCAAAGATTCACCGGCCACAAGTCCTTGCCATCCACAGACGAATACAAACAGTCTCATGGGGAAATGGTGTTCACAATCTGTCCATGGACCCATCAGTTGACCCATGAAATGCACCCTCCCCCCAACAATCATGGAAGTGGACAACCACCTCTTGGTAGGCGAAACATCGTCTTCCAAGCTCTTCCAAGGGGCCTGTGTCCACTTCCATGATTCTCGCAGGGGGAGTAATAGTCCCCAGATAGGCTGGATGTTCACTGCGTCACCAGGCTGGACATCCCTAGCCTTCGTGCGGCATCATTGGAGGTCGGTTTCCTGGGCAAACAGCGTGGCGTAGCGGCGGCCTTGCAGCCTTTGAAGCAGCCTTGAACGGAACATATTGTGACAAGCACAACTGTTGGTAAGAACATCCACCCGCGAACTCCATGAATTACATCAACAAAGTGTCAATGTTTAACAAAACTGCCAAATCAAATCCATGAAATCCACCAAAGGTGGGTGTAGATTTATCAATCCCGGCCCTCAGTATCTTCCGCATCCCATCCTGCAGGTGGCATCGAAGGAGGACCACCTGAAACTTGGGTGCGGAAGAGGTCGTGGAAGTTGGCCACTCGTCGTGTCAAAAGCCCCGTTCGTAGCGTCCTTGCTCCTAGTAGTACGGCCAGGAACCCCTAGTTGCTCCTTGTTACTAGTAGCGATGCCAGGAGCCCCTAGTAGCGTCCTTGCTCCTACGATAGCTGCTTCAACCTTAACATTCCCTGAATGACTTTGGACGCATTGTGGGGGAGGTCGATGCACCATGAAGTCGAGCAAAACCAAAACAAAGTTGCAGGTTAACTTAGAATTGATTAATGTTAATATTGCAAATAATAATATAATGTGAGAATCAGTAATATAATATTATATACATGAATTGGTTTCCCATGCTAACTGGTTCAATGCCAGTGGAGCGGTTTTCTGCGCCCTGCCTGGCTCCAGGAGCCCTAGCTCCTGCCCATCAGGGCCAAAGCGCGGAAAGGCACCCGGCGGAGGTCCCTGGCACAGCCGAGGAGCCGAGGAGCTCCGAGCTCCGAGCCGAGGAGCTCCGAAGCATCAACGGTGAAGCGAGCTTGGTCAGTCAATCCTATGAGGCGAACATCTGAGGTGAAGCTCTCCGCGGCGGCGGATGCCCTGATGCATGCATGATGCTTTTTGGATCTTTTTGGCAGATCCGCCATCAAAAGTCTTGGCACAAAGTCGGGTGGTACAGCAACAAGACTCAGGAGTCCTGCGATTGGAGGGAAGCAGTCTGAAAAAGTCTCACCTTGGATTCTGGGCCATCTGATTCTTCACTGACATGTCAACTCTCAGGCTCGACAACGGCGCCTGAAACTCCGGATGGTCTGGCCAAGGCGGATGCATCCTCAGCAATCCCACCAAGTGCTCAGAATCGACGTGATCCCACCGATGTGAGGCCAGAAATGGACCAGCACTGTGCGGCGAGTGAAGAAAGCACTTCAGAGCTCAGAAAAATCCTGAAAGATTGGCAGATTTGCTGCCTGACAAATGCATCAACATCGCGAGAGCCAGAAACATGTGGGCCAGCATTCTTCCAACAAGGATGGCATCTTTGGTTAGATCCCTGCTTGGGGTCTCTATAACTCCAACTTGTGAACCTGCGGCCTCAGCTTCAAAGTGCCTTGTTTAAGGCTCCGGCTGGGGACCGAGAGGTGGTCCCAACGGACGGCCGGGCCCAAAGCCTGGTGCAGGCTTTGGAGACCGAGCGTCGACGGCGATCGTCGGGGGTCGGGCGTCCATGGTGTCCCATGCATCAAGTCATGCCGCTGGTTTGGTCATACCATGTGAACATGAGCATAGTGCAGGCCAACTGGTCATTGAAGCCTCGGACATTCTTGTTAGTGTTAGGCATCTTCTGGCGCAACACGGCTTAAACCACGCACCAAAGTCAAACCGGCCTGGCCCCACTGGCACAGACCTCATCCACGCTGATGGCTGGAGATTGGTTCCGAATGGCCCTCTATGTTGACCAATAGTTAACCTGGAACATCTACGTTCCCATTTTGCACGTGTCCATCGTCGAGGATGTGTATCAGGTGCGTTCCTCTTCAATTGTAATCCCGAGTGCCTATTAGAAACACTACCCCATTAGAAAAGCTCAGGTTGGAGACCCCTAAATGCGGCTTATATGATATATGTGTTTATCAATTACCATTTTCTTATGCCACTGCAACTACGCTACAAACATTTTTCAGGTGCCCACCCACTGGAATCGCGACCAATCGCCACGCCGAATCTACACACTGTGTACCCTTCCCCACTGGCACAAAGCATCACAGAGCCATGCAAACGCACTTTCCAGCGAGGTCGAGCAAAACCGCATGGCACAGCGACATCACCGTGCGAAATCTTTAGTTGCTAGTCTGATGAAAAGTTTACAAGCGAAGAATATCGATTTTTATAAAGGGTTTTTGTAGCTCTTCCCAGCTTTCCATCTTTGCATCTTTGCGGGTCCCCTATCTGGGGGACTCGCTATAAACAACAACGGCACCAGAGATTTTTCATAGGGGGGGCGTGTTTCTTAATAGGTGGAGGGGACTATTATATGTAAGTCTAAGCGGTCGATGCACTGTCACAGATTAGAAGATACATACTCCGACCTTCACCCTGGGGAATCGAATCCTGAGAACGGCATCGATGGATTCCGAAGGTCCAGTTCGGACCATGGAGGGGGGCTCCGATGAAACGCATCCATTCCAAGACCCTGTCAGCCCATGGAGGTCCGTCCTCTTTGGGTGCATGCCAAGAGCAATCCGTTGAACCGGGCTCTACTGCTGATGGAAACCAAGCGCCCAAGTGCAGCACCTCGCAAAACCTTCCGTCCAAGTGCAGCACCCAGGGCATGGAGCTGCGAAATGAGGGCCAGGCGGGCCTGGCGAGGTGGAGATGCAACGAGCCAAGGATGAAGGACACAGTCGCAGAGTTGTACTCCGAACATTCCGAACTAGGCAAGAAACAACAAATTGACCTCTTCCTGCACTTTCTCAAAAAACGGCGAAATCCTCATCCGAACCAAGGCCCCAAGGCCCCAACCGCGCTCGAAGGGTCCTTCGCGCCAACCAGAGCCATCTGGGCCCAAATGCATTGGCCTTGTGCCGGGTGAAAACGTATCAATAACAGATAACATTCAATAACTGCCGCAGGCTGTCAGCGACATGGCAGTGGCCTTCGAACGAAGTGGAGTAGCACAGGTAGGGCAACAACTGAGGGCCCTGCGGACCCTGTGGGCCATGGCATGGCCCTCGAGGTCCACATCCCGGGCCGGGGTGGCTGTAGACCGGGCCGGGGCCATCTGGATAGCCACATCCCATGGGACCGACCGGTCCAGGGCCACAGCCACATGGACCCGGGCCGCAGGCGCCGCAGGGACCAGGACCATGACATGGACCATCCCAGGGGCGACCTGATCTGCAGCATCTCAATGGATGGAACATGGTGTTTTCATGTGTCTTCATGTCTCCTGGCCTTGGAGATCAGGGCCTAAAGACCCAGGCCCACCTGGGCCTGGCGGGCCTGGCGGGCCATGCGGGCCATGCCTCAAGTGGCTTAAGGTCAGGCATTCAATGTGTTGTGTTTCTTTGATCGACTCTTTCTGTTGTGTTTTTTGACCCCTATTTGCTTTTTTGTGTTGATCCCTCTCCCAGCAATTTCTCTCTTCTGGACTCTGGATTCTAGACTGACTAAGGACGTCGCCCGTCGAACCACATGGGTCGGCAACCTGGCCGGACACGGCTGGAAAGGCCTTGTGATACCCTGAAGGCATTGCCAATTCTGAACAAATAGCCGTGAATCCCATCATGAGATTCTCTTTCTGGATTTGGCAATTGTCCACCCGAAATGCCAGGACTGCGAGCTGTATGGAATCCATCATAGAGACTCAAAGCCTTCCTTATAGATCCCGGCCTCCATCTGGCGGGCCCATTGGATGCATTGGCATTGGCCTCAATTCGCCAATCCCATCGCCCACACCGGTGACTCGCATCTCAAGCGTCGCGACTCACGAGGAAAGGGGCTCGGACCCATCTGGAAAGGGCGGCCCACCTCAGCCGCACTGGAGATGACCAATACATGAAAAAAACAAGGATGTGCTGCAATGTGCTGCACCCTAGAAGTCCAAAGACCAAACGTTTCCTTACGGAGGTTTCGTGATGAAACTTCCCTGAAACAGGTCCCCATTCGTCAGAAGAATCCATCGTTTTGTTTCGCCGATGAGGTTGGTCGCACCCCCAAGCAGCCAATTTTCCGATCGATCTCTCTCTCTCTCTCTCTCTCTCGCCGTCAGGTCAGGTCAACACCTGCCCCAGCTACGCTGGGGGATGAGAAAGGATCCAATGGGTTTGTTGATGGGTTTGTTTGCTGGGGTCCGAGGCAGTGTTCTCCTTCTTACTGTCTTGACTCACCCAAGATCAATCCTGTTGAAACCCCAGATGTCAGAAACATCGTTCCTGGAAGAAGCTTTTGTCAAACTGCTTGAATTCAGATTCAACCATCTCAACCACAAAAGCCTGCACCCCACGGCCAAGATGATTCAAGTGATGCATCAAAGTCCTGAACCCTTCGAAGTAGCAACTGCCAGCACAGGCACCACCAAATCAGCTGCTACACCCAGCCACCAGCCACCTTTCCAACCACCTCGAAACATATGGAAAAAGAACATGAAAACATGAAACATCACCATCTTCTAAGGTTCTAGCACCCCAAAAAATGGAACGCATCACTTCCATGCCAATCGCTTCAAGTCGCAAGGTGCACCCCACGGTGGTCCAAAGGCCTCACACCTTGGGGCACTGACGTCGGGCGCAGCACGGACCGAGCCACCGACTGAGGGCATTGACCGTGTCCAGGACTGCAGGTGCAAGAGGGTGCAATTGGAACTGTGCAAGGACATTGCCAGCTATCAGCATTCATCATGCAGCTAGGAGGGACTACACTCAGAGCCAAGAGAGGACTGAAGCCATCTCTACAATGATCGATGAGTGGAAAATATACAGTAATCCAGTAAGGAGCGTTGTTGCAACAAAACGAACGACTTGTGGGTGATCTTGTGCCCCTTGTGCTTCATCTGAATGTCTGATCTTGGGTCAGATCAGTTCGCTGAGATCCCAACGGGCCAGGAGGGCCTGATGGGTGGGGGTGTGCTTCTTGGACCGCTTCTGAGAACGCCAGCAGTGGAGGTCTAAAGGATGAAGATAGATGCCACTGATGAAATCGGTATGATTGGGCCATTTGGGGGTCTCCCACCTCTACCTACCCTGCCCCACCGCCTTTGTGCGTTTTTGCATAAACTGCCGCGCACCGTTAGGACGGTCCTTCAACTTGGGACGAGACAAGTGGTCGACCGGCCGCCTTCTGACATGGCTGTGCGTCAAAACCAGGGGACCGGAGGAGACCTTGGTTGACCACCAGCCAGATGAACAGAATTGAATAGTACCAGGGAGGTCAACCTACCAGGGTTTGGGGCTGCCTAGGTTGTGACTCACAGCTACATCAGGAGAGACGAGACGAAGCACATCACTGAATGTCACTGCCTCCAAGCATCTTCAAAAATGAAGTTGACGAAGCAGCCAACCCATGGGATCTCAAGGTGGGTCAAAACAACCCAACTCCCACAAGGAGGCCAAAATAACTTGTGACTGGAAACCGTTAAACCAAATGGTGCCAATCTACATGAAGTATCACCCACATCCCACTCGGCATCTCGGCCTCCGTTCCACCGTGGCCTGGACATGGCGGATGACATTTGGAAAGAGTTCCCGAGTTCCAATCTCCAGGGTCAGCCTTATTGGGTGAGCCAAGCTAGCTGGCACGTTCTTGAAGGAGTCACTTAATATGGAGGGCCGGGCATGAAATCCCCATCCACTTCCATGTGATGAAATCCTCCCAAACACCCACCAGAAACGTGTCCGTCGTCCGTCTCCGTATCATACCCAAAAGCCCCAGGGCGGGAGGGTCCTCGGCTGACGGTGGGAAGCCTCCAAACCCTAAGAAGTTGGCCACAAAAGTTAGATATCTGGCTGGAAAACAATGAAGCCCAGAGTAAGTACAAAGCAATGTTACAATCAAAAGGTTTCACGGCTTTGCGAAAAATATCGAAAAATAGACCACCCGGGATGATCTCTTCACCAAACGGTAGCTGAGCATCTGAAAATGCTCCTGCCCTTCTTTTCGGATCGCTTACCTATTGCATTGCTCCAGCTACGCACAGGGTTGCGCTTTTCGGATTCCCCTTCCTGACGCGTGATGCACAACCTGGGTTAAGACGATCGCTGAATCCAAAAGAACGCAACCCTGTCCAGCTGTGACACCGGTGAAACTGGTGACAGTGAAAGCCAAGGCACATCGCCAATTTTAGGCGAATTCACTCAAGTTCCCATCTTGCAAAGCATAGCACGGCACAAGTATATGATATATAATATATTATAATATGCCTCAAATCCAGATCATCCAATGAGTGCTGTTGCCACTCACTCTAACTTCTTCGCTGAACTTAAATTTCCTTGTTTCACCCACCGGCACCTGACGGTGTTTTCTCACATTGTCATCTCCGCACCTTAAGTGCGCGCAGGTCACCTCATTCGGAGCAGATCAAGGTCGCAGGTCATCCAAACAGTGGAGACAACATCTGATTTCGTTGGGGGCATCCAGCAACCTGAGCATTCATGCTGGAGGCAACAGTCTCAATGCCAGTTCATCGTATCATATGACTATATTGCTGGCATTTGCGTGGTCAAGACCCCGTGCCCCTGAACGCCAAGTTGCACTGTCCATGGGGGGCCGACATATGGATATACAATATACATACAAGCCAGCAACATAATTACAAGAAACTTTGGCGCGCATCAAGGATCCAAGGAATTCTGTAGGTCGGGATGCATCGGCATGAGGCTTCTGGCAGTGATTTGCCCAGCGACCACCGCCCGGTATTGGTGAACAGTTGAGGCTCAAATCAGCAAACCCGTCACAGTTGGACTGCTACCAGGACAGCCCGTTGGCCCATAGCTGCCAAGAATAGAAAATCGGCTCATTTTTCATTGCTGGATAAGGTCCGTATTTCTTGTGGTTATATACAGATTTAGACTGGTCTATAATCATCGTATGTAGTTATCAATATAATTCGGACGTTCAACTAATCTACTGTGCCACCGTATCACCTACAATCACCTACATAATCCTACATAGGTTCAGTTCTGTCTCGCACCTGCCCAGAAGCTGATACACCTTCCCAGGCTTCCCCGGCCTGGGTCGTCTCAGGGCGACTCAGCCTCGAGTTGTTTCATCGTGTCTTGCAGCTTTCCATTCTCCTGGCACGTCGGTGGGGCTTCAGGAAGCTCAGGCGCAGTGGCGCAGTGGCTCAGCTCAGGCGCTTGTGACGCGAAACACTGAAGCTGGACCGCCACGAGAAGGACATGGAACCCTGGCCGAATGCGAAAGTTGTCCATTGGGCCATGTGCGATCCATCCCATCCCGGGCTCCGCAGCATTCTCAAGCAGGCTGCGAAGCATCCGCTTCGTAGCCTCTACACTCTCCTCCTCAGCCGGGTGCCGATAGACACTGGGCTCAGCTGCTTTTGGTTTGAGAATCGGATGAGAAGATCGGCAATCCTCTTTCTGTGGCCTGAATCACTTGAAGGGTTAGCTTTGTGTAGAATCTCATCTGGTGGTTTCTAAGGTTTCATTTCTCACCCTATCTTAGATGACCAATTGGCACCCTCAACGCAGTCTCCCCAATCTCTGGGCTTCGGCTTGTCCAGTTGTGTCGGTGAGGCAACGAGTTCGACCACTGTAACACCACCAGTGTCACTTTCAAAGCAACAGATGTTGGGTGAGCAAATCTGCGAGTGGCCTGCTATGGTAATTGACACGTATAATAAAAACGAAAAGGAAAAAAAACGACCTGAGGTTCCGGGCATTAGGCATATATTTGTTGAGCTTGTAAAATGTTTCCTGCAACTTCAGTTCTTCCTCAGCTGTGAACTCAATCATCAGGAAGCACCGCACGTATGATTCCATGTCACCATGTCATCAAATCTCAGAAGTTTCTCCTTGGGAACATGCCTCTTCTCTTTGTGGGTCAAATTCTCCAACTCTCCTGCAACTTTCCGGCAATCCCGGGTCCACTTCTCACAGTGCCCGCCCCCCCCAATTACCCCAATTGCGAGGGAGAAAGGCACATCTATATACACAAATCCACCTGTGCTTCACGTTGCTTTCTCTTGGTTTCGATGATCCACCGAGCTCTACACGCGCGCCTTAACCAGTACACCGCGCGCTCGCGCGCGTACCAACCTTTCACGCGTGCGTGTCTACGACCGCGCCCAGGCACCGAAGGGTTGCCTTGCCGTGCGAGGGCGCAAATGTCCAGGGAGGCGAGGAGATCATCGTCCAACATCTGGACGGCTTTGGCCATACTCTTGGCAATGATCTCCCAGCTGTTGTGGAAGACACCTGCCAGTCAGGTTATTGTCTTAAGATATGATCCGATCATCATCAGGTCATCTTCTCTTGGTTTCCGACCCCATCCCCTCTCTCTTTCTCGGCCCTCTCTCCAACGAACGCGATGCGCCCGTGGCTGGCCCAGCGATGCGCCATCGGCCCACGTCACCGGCGGGGTGTTGAAGGGATGGACGTCATGTGCCCCCCTTGGACAGACCATCGGACTCGTCAGACGTTTGTGGAACGTCTGTCAACGCCACGTGGAGAGGACATGGTGAACCGCGTTGTTTGACTCCACCCTCGGAGTGGAACACCCCAAAAAACGAAAGAATGATTGGAAGAATGACTTGTGACCACTCCTGACTGAGGTCAACAGAACATATGGTGGAATACACTCGTAGTATCATTTGAAGGTGCCTCTGCCTTGAGACCTTGGGGATTCTTCAGGGTGCCTGACTTTGACTCCTGTTCTGCCTGTCATCTGTCTGTCTGAGGTGTCTGGCTTCGGCATGTCCACCTTGCACCACGCCAAAAGCGCCCAGTGAGCCAGGCACATTGGATTCATCCCTCCGAAACCCCTTGTTTTGTTTGGTCTATTCATTTGTGGATCCTCAATGGGCCGTTTTGGATCCCTTGAAGCTCAGAGTATGCCAGGGCCATTGAATGCTCAGCAACTTCGCAAGTCTTCACCCCCAGGTCTTTCCCATTTCCACTCCTCACCTGTCCCCAGTGGCATCAGGAAGACTTTCCGCCGGCCGCCATGTCCGCTGTCCTTCGCGGTGGTAGCTGCATGCTTCAGGGCCCCATAGTACTGCGCAACTAGCAAAAGCTCGGCCACCTTCGTCTGATACTCGGAATCTCCTTGGCTTCAAGCGACATCACAGGCAACGACTCAACAAACCAAGAAACGTCTGGGAATGTTCAGTAACTTTCGTCAAATCCTTTTCTTGCTGTTGCGTGCTTCTGTTCACAAAAGGTGGTGCCATGTGTCCAGGGTGCATGGAACATTGAACTCCCAGATGCTGATGAAAGCATCTGGTGAAACTTCCCGGGATCTCTTGCGGTGGATGGGGGTGTTATTGTACACTCGGAAGCTACGACTGCATCAGGACCGCAGCTGCCAAGCTCACAAAGAAATTCAGAGCAGATCCGAAGCGAACGGCAGGGGTCTGGTGGAATTGGAGGTCCCGGCTTTTATGCTTTTGTGAGTCGCATTGGGCAAGTTAGCTGGCTGTAGCTCATATCGCAAATGAAAACCTCTGGCACGGCATGTCCCCCTTTGGAAGAGGGTTAAGCTAAACACGCACCCCTTTTCGCTGGCTAGCTCGCTAGCCTTCACTGAAGTCTGTGGTGGAGGTTTCCAAAGGAGGTCGGTCCTGGCTGGCCACCGTGTTTTCAAGCTTTCCAGGTGTAGAAAATATTCCGTCACCAGCCCTTGCCACATCCCAGTGCTACATAACTTCGCCCGAAAGCCCTTCCCCACCATCCTTGTTGGGTTTCCTCATCGGAAACCACCCTGTCTGGTTTTGAAGCATTTCCTTGCCCAGCAGCCATCCCGGTTTAGGTAGGAGTCCACGGGTACAGCCGAGGCATAGACCAAGCCTACTCGGTGGCGGCCGCCGGCCACCCCACGTTGGTCCGGGGTAAGGCCCTGGACCAGGATGTCCTCCATAATCAAGGGCCGTAAGGTATGCAAGTGATCCTCAGCTGGAATGACGGGAAAAACATAGAAAAACATATACTGTAAGTAAAACATCAAAAAAGAACACGAACTCACACTCGAATATGGCCTAGTCTATAATGTCTATAAATAGTGGGCCGGTAGAAGCATATGAATTTCATAAGCAAGCAATAATGGAAGATGGGCACTGCACAGCGCCACTCGTGCCAAGGATCTTGCAAGTTTCGTAAGGCCTCTTCCTGCCCGCTCTTGAGCCGTTGAATCTTCAAATAGCCATTCACCAGCTCAAATCCTGGTGCTCACGTTCCCATCCCCTTCGTCCGGATAAAAGATGATAAAAGCACTCCTTCTTCACTCCGAAAAGAGGACTGCGTTTCGTTGATCGTTTGCCTTTGCGATTCGAACGAACCCATCATAGTATCATTGCCTTGACATTGGTGCTGACCCCAAATGAGTTTGCCCGGGATGCTTGCCTACGAGTCGGTCAAGTCGCCGCTGATCCGGAGGCCGTGTCCCAACTCACACGGTCCACCTGCCTGAGACCTTCTCCAGCAGCTCGTCTAGCGCATTGATCCCGCCCTCCCGTTTCGCATTCGCCGCGTTGTCGAGCAAGAACTGCGCCACCGCTGGGTGGGCAGCCAATTGTGCCCGTGGGCCGCTGCTGTTGTCGTGCTTGTAGTCCTAGATTGGCCGAACAAGAAACTGACTGGTCTGCTCCTACCCTATGCAATGGTGCAATGGGGGCTTCCCTCTCAAGGAAAGGGGTGAATCTTCTCCTCTTCATCTGAGTTAGTTAGATCTCTCACCCACATAGTGCATCATACTGCCCCTTGGAATCGAGTCCGGTGAGGAAAAGACAACATCAAATACATCCAGACAGCACGTTCACAGAAAAGGATATAACAACTATATATATATAGTATAAACTAATATGATGTTACAGCAAAAACTGCCAAGAACGCCCTCTTCTCGTGGGGCCTCCACAATCCTATCTGTCTCACCCCCAGTGGGGTCTCTCTCAACCGCTCTCGCCTCTCGACGAGAGCCAACCTTGACCGTCCCAGCCGGTCCTCCACTTTGAAGACCAGGTCCGTGTGGTACGGATACTCCGCTCCGTTGAACTGGGAAGGGATCACGAACAAAGCTCCGTGGTTGGCCTCGCGCCCGCGGCGCGGCCAGGGTGTCGAAGCGGATCGAATGAGTGGTGCAGGGGTCTACTGGCTACCTACCAGTGGACGGGAGAAAACTGCAAGGACGGCCATGATCTAAAGAAGTGTTGGACTCAAGTTTCCTGAGTTTCATGTGTCAAAAGGTTGATTGGGAGGGCAAGAGCTGCACCAAATTCAGCGAGTCTGCACGGGCAGTCTGTACTCTGCTCATGCAGACAGGCATCGTGATCGATCAATCACTGATGTAGGCAATGGGCCCGGACGTTCTGAGAGTTGGAGATGAGAGCATCAACATTACATGATTCAGCATGATCCAGCCAACACCTCCCAACAAATCATCTCTTGCAGCATGAAGCCACGATAAAAACATCCATGTATATAGTCACATTCTGCCCACATGAGCCCTCCGAATTGTATACCCTGCCAGAGAGTCCTGGTGTGAATAAACGCAAACAATGAACCAAGTTACGACCCACTATGACTCCTCTGGTGGAACCAGGTGGATTTTTTCTGAGTTTCCGCATGTCAAGGGAAGCAACCGTGAAGACCGGGTGACCAAGAGGAAGACCGTTGAAGTACCACGGTCTTTGCATGGCTTTGCACGGGATGCGTTGCCAACTGGCCAACCTTGCGCCCAAGCTGCCTCTTTGTGGATTTCGGTCATGATCTCCGAGGAGATGATGGGGAGATTGCCGGAATTCAACTTGGAGAAGGACTCCGGAAAAAGCAGCGGAGAGCCTCAGCCAGGCCCACGCAGGCTAGGTTTGTCTGTTGAGGCCTACTGGAATTATTCATGTCACTATGGTCACTATGGGTGATGATGAGGAAGGTTTTTTTCAAAAGCCTGCGCCTACAGGAAATCAAGAAAAAATGTTGATGATTAATGCCCCCTCATTGCCCCCCAGAGTGTCAAGGAGAACTGTGATCAAAGCAGCCTTCAACTTATATACATTTGGCCCCACTGCTTAAAATCACAAGCCACAATTGTGGCAACATTCCTGAGTGCAGGAGTGGAAAGAATGAATGCCTGTGAGGACAACACGTGAGAAGGGGAAAACGAAAGCCAAAACGGTGACGTTTTTCCGCGTGCGGCAATGGTCGCATGGAGATGGCTGGGGGTTGGGTCAGGGCATTCTAGTTATAGATATAGATGCACATATGCATATATGCACATAGTTCTTTGAGCCGTGTGCACTAAGCTGCGGCAGTTCGTCCTGGTGGGACAACCTTCACTGCTGTTGTGGATATGGTTGCCCAAGGCCCTGGTCTTCCTTTTCGGTTTTCTACTTGGACTGCTGTCCCCACTGCTGCCGGCATTTGGTTCATTAGGGGAGCACGCAAGTGACGGAGACGCGTTTGGTATGGAAAGGTTAGGGGGCTTCTTTTGGAGGTACCCCACGCTAAACACATGGAACCGGTTTTCTTCAGCAATAGAAGCAGATAGAAGCAGTATAGCCACGACAACAGAGACTATATAGCCAATCAAAATCGAAAAGCGGCAAGGTCAGCCTCCCCGAGCAAGACCTTCCAAGGGGTGAAAAGCACAGTTGTCTCTGTGCAAGTATTTGGGCCGCTGTCCGTTGCTATCGGCCACAAGGCCCGCCCGGTAATAGCCCCAAGGATTACCGGGGCGATGAACGGCCACATCACGAATGCAGGAACATACCCTGATGCAAGAGATGCTGTTCACGTTCCTGGTCTGTCTGCCGTCCCGGATGATCCCGGATGTGTTTTTTGGTATTAGAGGGGCGGGGCCCGGGTAGATCGTGGAACGCGTGAACCGCTCCAAGTGGAGAAGGCACTCGCGCAGGGAGTGGACGCCAAAATCTGTATAGCTTATGTGGATCTCGTGCGCGGTTGTCATGATCGTTGATCCGGCAATTTTGTTTGTATGGCTCTCATCTTACAAGTTTCTGATGTTACATCACGCTGTTGTGGGCGTGGTTCAAAAAGAGAGGGCTGACCTTGGAAGGGATGACCCTGCGATGGACTAGGAGGGAGTTCCACCTGCGATGTTTTTCTTTTTGGGGCCAATTCTCGACTCACAGCCAACTACTGAATGAACACTACTCACATCCAGAAAACACCTTCAATGGTCTCCACCGCCTTTCAATGCATTCTGCCCTCACAACACACCGTAGGGTCACCGCGCGACCAGTCGCGTCGACCCTGCATCCGTGTCACCTATATATAGGGTGATCCGACCCAAAGATAGTCGGATTTACCAGACATGTCTTTCATAAATCTCAAAACCAGGTACTTGCAATGGTGTTCAGAAACAGGCTGGATGTGCCACTCGGGTTTTATGATGCTCGTGATGCAATACCTCCGTTATCTTGCCTCTTTTGCATCGCCAGCCACCAAAAATTACCTTCTTGGCCACCTAAGGTACTTTACGTCACTTTCTCCCCTCCCCATACCCTGTTGTAATAGAACAGCTAAAAGTAGTTTATCTGCACTTGCCCAACGACATCCTCTCCACAAATTTGCTCGTCGGCAACCTCTACAGGTTCTGATGGACATGATTCAAAAAGGGAGGACAAGTGTTGCGCATGTGCAAAGACATGTGCCACATTTCGCATGGGTGACAATCAATGTCACACGTTTCTGGCCTTCTGGAATTCCCATTGTCCACAAAAAATCACAAAAACACTGTTTCATCCTCTTCTCATGTACCAGTATCTCCGAGACAAACCGAACGCACGATACAGTGCACTCCCATCACACAATGAGTATAACCACAGGTTTAGTTCTGCCAATTGTGCGTCTTGATTTTGGGGGGCCCGAAAAAGGGGGTCCAAAGACCATGGGTGGTGCTCGTCCTTCCAAGGAGCTTTGCATCCGCTCGCAAATGAAACGCCCCACTTGTTCACCCTCCACTTGCAGCCATCCGCTGGAGCTGTCGAAGGCGTATTTGTGGGCTTCACCATTCAAAGACCAGGCACCTGCCTTTTGGAGAATCATGCCTTTATAACCTGAGCTGGGTTGGATCATGCCGCATCATGCCGCACCCTGTGAACATGGTGCAAGAAAGAGGCCAAGAGGAATGCGCGCCCTCAAAGCTGTTGAGACATGACTTCTCAAGGAGGTCTTAATCGGCAAGGGGCATCGAGGGACCCTAACAAACGCCTCTAGGATGACTTCCCTTATTTGTCAGCCAAGAAGCTAGTGGCATCCACTGTGAGGTCTCCAAAGACCTGGCTGTGCATGGATTGGATGGAGGTTCCAAAACCAGCCAGGATACTCGAGGTTATTTTAGAGAGCCTCACCACGAAAGCAAACAAATGCACGACTCTGAAAGATCGAGTAGTGTAGTGTCACAAGTCAAGTGGATACCGGAAAACCCCCTTCTGAACAAACCTTGCTAGCCTTGCCTTTTGATCCTATCGACGAAGAAAAGGCTGAGCAACTATGCCAACCCACCAGATGCGATATGGGTGTTGATCTAAATTCCTTTATCTGGGATCCGTCATTCTTAGCCAAAAAAGTTACTTTGGCGAAACTTTCGTTGGGATACTATCCCAAAAAGAAGGGAATTTAGACCAAACCATCCATCTCCCGGAGACTTCGGTCCCTCAACTTCCCATTCACGCCTCTGGGGACGGCTTTGAGCTGACAGAGCCGGGTCTGGTTTTGATCTTCCCCAAGGTCTCCTCCAAGACTCCTGGAGCTGGGGTGGGTCTGGTCATCTTTTTGGGGGGGATCTGCATGCGTCTGTATTCTTCGAACGAGCTCTTTAGATCTCTGACGAACTTACCTCCTTCACTCCTGACCTCCTGGCACAAATCCCTGATTTCATTCAATGATCTTGTGACAAACCCCTGTACAAACCACCATTTGGAGGATTTGAGCCGCTTTGAGGATTTGAGCCGCCAACGTCGGAGAACGACACCAGCCTGTGGACACAGAATCTTGCAGCAGGTGCCGCATCTTTTCTTTGATGTCTTCCACTTCTTGCGGCTGTAGCTCTTTCACCGGCAAGGTGTTCTCCAAGCGCCCCGTCTCCGAGGCACCTCGCGGTGTCAGGAGAGGCCGTTCACTTGCATCATTGATCACGTCTTCTTTCGAAACATCAAAGTCGTTACACACTGTCACCGATTGAAGGGCCCACCTTCCGATTGACTTTGGAGGTTCTGCTTCGTG